AAAAAAACTAATTAGAGCGTTCACCATTTGAAGTACGTTTGTAAGTATCGACAAAAACTTCGGGAATTCAAGGCTTCCAAGGCGTCTTTCTTAAATTTTTGCCTCCTTATTTACTTTTGTGGAAACTCTTGTACAAATGCTGGATTGAACACATCAAGTTCTGTCTCGCCTCTCCATAAAACCAGGCTCTTAGACACCTGAAAAACAGCTGGAGAATTGTACTTGCTTTTTTTCACCACAGTGGGTGGATGCAGAAGATCTTGAAATTATGAAAGCTGATCAGGACCCTGTTCATTATCATGACGCATGGAAAAAACTCTGCGGTTGCAGGTACGAAAGGATTTACTTCATGTAACCATGTCTAAACTGTATCTAATTTAGTCGTAAATTAAAGAAACCTTCTGGTAGCCCGGTGCGGCTTTTCGTGAAATGTTGTTTTGATAATCCGCGAGGATATTTGTCGGTCAATAGCTCGTATTCTTGGTCGTAGATTTTGGATGTTGACGTGTGGATTTCGGAATCTCGCGATTACCAGACACGAATTTGTATTATATTAAGGAATTTAGATTCGGGAGTCCATTGTTTTCATACAAGATTTGAAGTAGATATTTTGTCGGATTCCTTTCATTCATCTTGTTCATTCAAATCCAGCGAGACCATGCATGCAATTTTTTGCCATATTCGATTGGATGAGGCATAACAGTCCCCCTGTCCAAAACATTACAATTATGTAAAGCAGGTGGGAGATTCTAAGCTCAGACCAAATCTAGTAAAAAAATGGGGAGTTTTTTTTTTAATTCCGCCATTGGCGGAAACTTTAGGAAAATCCATTGGGACGAGTTCGCAGCTTGGTCCACTTGTTTCCGCTGACTGGTTAGTTTGCAGAGTTTGTTTTACGAAAGAGATTAAACAGTAGATGTATTTGAATCTCTTGCGTAGCCATCCCGCTTAATTATTCCTGCTATGTAAATTTTTCTCTGTTCATAAACTGTGAAAACAAAAGATTTCCCGAGAATTAACTAGTGATTTCTTTCAAATGTACGTAGCAAGACTATCTGCAGGCTGGGTACACCTCTGAGCCATCTGAACCTTCACCGACCTAATAGACATTAGGAATTATATATTATCCGTTTAGTGGTGTGCTGGTCCCTGGTGGATTTGGATCTCGTGGAACTGAAGGAATGATTTTGGCCATCAATTATGCTAGAAAGAAAAACATCCCTTTCTTAGGTCAGTTCGCATTTTAAAATTTGGCACAATGAATGTACCTTTAATGACTATCTTGCGTATGCGATTATTGTTAAACTTCCCAAAGGAACTGCGCATGCAAAACTGATGATTATTTTTTCCTTACAGCAAAGCGATTTAACTGATAAATTTAAAGTTATACGTCGGTGTTCTCGACTATCAGAAAGTTTTCATCCCTCGTGGCCTTGACTAGAGGGTGTGAAAAAGTTGTCGCGGTTTTTCGTTCTTCCTATAAAATATTTACATTTCAAGTAATTTAGCTAAGGCAATTGATATTTTTGCTTAAACGAGTACACTTTCAAACAAAACATCTCCCAATCATGGAATAAAGATGACAGAATCTTTCGTGACTTGGTGACGTTCACAAAGAAGCCATCAAATTATTTTCTAAAGTAGAACACTCTTTATTTCTGTGTGTGTTAGAGTCAAAATCTTTTCTTGAGCAAGAGTTAAAATTTTGCATTTTTTAGGTGTTTGCCTCGGATTACAGCTGGCTGTTGTTGAATATTCCAGGAACATATTAAACTTAGAAGGTATGATCAGTTAAGAAATACGAAAAATATTTGTCTTTTTGATGATATTATGGTCGTAAAAATGGATTAAAGAAAACTTAAGGATTATGCTTTCACTTTAAGATTAAGTCGTTTTTATGCAAATCGCACAATTCCCCGATATATTAAAGTTTATCTTAAAGAAATTTTATCTGCAGCCTGAAGGGTGGACTTCCACTTCTACACGTCTCCACTGTACATCTCCCCGTCCATCATTAACGTTTTAACTACCACTCATGTTCTACGAATTAGTTTACGCCGGCGTACTAATGCCGCTGCCTTTGTGATAATTGGGGGGGGGGTATTCATATATGTGGCAAGTGCGCCATATTGAAAAATGGCTGCAAGCCAAATTCTTAATCAACAATAAGTTGAAAGGAAGTTTAAGAAACCAATCCTATGAAATATCTTAAAACCCCAACCTAACCTATCAACTCTGCAACTGTATTTGAACGCAGAAAAAAACATATGTTCCTTGAAATCGATTGTATTAGAATATGTATAGCTTGACTACTAATTTTGTTTTGTTTAATTTCACAAGATGCCAATTCATCAGAATTTAAAAGTGACACAGAAAATCCTGTGGTAAGAGTTCCATTTTTTTTCGTTTGGCCGTTTAAATTCAAGGTTAATGATGACGTAGCTAAACTATTTCAATAATTATGTAACATACAAATAAAGGCCCGTTTCCACTTACGAAAATTTTCTTAGAAAGGAAAATTTGCTGTATATCTGTTTTTCCAGCAATGATTTCCATTCATGCCAGAGTGGAAATAAATATGGCGGCCTTAACTAGACGTATCTTACCTCTTTTACTGATAAGAAACAGCTACTACACAAGATTGGACACACAAAATACATACAAGAAAATATGTTGTTCGACGAATATTTGTTGAAACAACGACTAACGGTGAATTTGCCACTTTTATTTGTGAAATAAGACTTGCAGACCACGAATACTTTTCAAACATTTTTTTATTACTTTATGCTAATTGTTTCTAACATCTGTGACATGATTGGCTGACTACTAATTTTCCCCCAGACTGAATACACAAAGTTGAAAAATTTCTACTTGAATAAACATTCAGTTTTTCCGCTGGAAAATTTGATCACATCTCTTGTATTACTTAACGTATGCGCAACCTGGAAAATTTTGCTTTCCGTGGAAAATTTTTTTAAGTGGAAACGGCCTTAAAGTGCGGTCATTAATTTACGAAATACAGATTACGACGTGTTTTGTTTTACGTTTTGTATATAGTGTATAATACGTAACTGTAGCATATCAAAACGTATTTACGTACACTCTCCGACTACTAGTTTTGCGCATAATAATAAACAAGGCTCGTAGAAAACTTGTATGTTCTTTGAATTTAAATTTAAGAACCGTTTTTACTTATGAGAGTTTTCTGCGAAACGTTTCATTTTCCAGGTTGCGAATGCGCTAAGTAATGGAAAAGATGCATGAAATTTTCCAGTGGAAGCAAATTGAATGTTTATTCAAGTAGAAGTTTTTCAACTTTTTGTATTCTGGTGACAGCATCCGCAACCTGGAAAATTATAAGTTCCGTGGAATTTTTCTTAAGTGGAAACGGGCCTTTAAGTCCTGCTATGCTTATTTTTCTGTGCTCACTCACTTCGAAAACAATAAATTGAATTGAATCATGTATCATCGTAATTTGGAATTTCTTGAGCAGAACTATCGTCCGTATTGTTTCAGTGGAGTTTCAAAATGACCTCAAATTATACGAAGACAGGATTTTCGCTACATCGATTGCTTGATTTGACATGTTTTAAAGAAAATTTAGCCATCGACGGGGAAATGACTTTGTCGTTGATTAGAGAGTGCGTGATTTTCATATTCGCACTCAGTGAGCGTGAGTTCGAGTGAGCGTTTATAATACCAGCGTCAGGCTGGCTACTCCTGCAGTATAAACTAAACAATGTACCAACCATGGTAACGACCGATGTCAAATAGTTTTTCAACAAAGAGATCTTTTCTGAACATCAGGTGATAGAGATGCCTGAACACAACCCTGGTCATCTTGGTGGCACAATGCGACTAGGAAAACGAACTACTGTTTTCAAATCGGAGAAAAGTTCAATTTGTAAGTTGAGCGATCTTTTTTATAAAGTTCTCGATGTCATGTTGCACCTTTTATGGCATTTTAGAGAAGAAATTGTTTTTGTTTAGACAAACTTTATGGATGTAAGGAGTACATTCAAGAACGGCATCGCCATCGTTATGAAGTAAGTGACTCATTGTAATGCCTTATGTTTGCAAACGCCCAGTAATTTCACTCTATTTAAAGTGCCTATCTCACCCTCAGGGAAATAAAGCATTTAGATAGAGTTGACCATTTTGAGAACATTTGTAATATATTTTATAAGACGAAAATTTTATTTTCCTTGACTTTTTGGGCGTCAAAGTTGGCTGTTTTCGTTTTTGACCGTGAGGTGCTGGGACTGGGTCTAGTTCACCGACGTGACGTACTTTGGAGAGCACGCTGCTTTTTAACGCTGTAGTTTATAGTGAAATTTGTATCAAAATCAAGAAATTTATTTTTTTATTAAACTTGACTTATATTGCGCACTTTGTTAATGAATTACACTGTAATTCTACAGCCTTAAACAGCACCTCACGGCAAACACGAAAAAAGCCAACTTTGACGTCCAAATTGCAAATGTACTGCAACAAGTATTGCAAATGTACTTAAAATAGTCAACTCTATCTAAATAGATAATTTCCCTGAGGGTGATATAGGCACTTTAACGATTAGATTACAAGCTTGAGATATCTACGATGTGTATGACTTGGCCTGCATCATGGAAATCAAGAGCGAGTAATTGTTTAGTAGAATCATATGAGGATTCATAAATGAAAGCGTTGTTATAGTTTTTCTTAATTTGTTGTATCAATCATTTGTTGTTGTTGACATCGTTTATTTTAATAAGCTAACGACCCTTGCTCGATGCATATCTAGTTATTTAAAGTGAATTTTTGTTTATTTTACTTTTAAATATTTAACGTTGTATTTAGTGAGAATTTTAGTCTTCTTCAGAACTGTAGATGTAGGTCGTACGGAAAACTTACTTTTCATCAAATTTTCTGAAATTGTAAACCAAGACCCAAACCTTCATTCCTTCAAAATGTGGTTAATCCTACTTATGTATCGAGTTGTGTATGTTTAGATCAATCCTGCATATGTAAAACAGCTTGAAAAATATGGTATGAAATTTGTCGGCCATGATGTTGATGGGGAGCGCATGGAAATCATGCAACTTGAAGGTATTATTTGCAACAATATGCAACGAACACAGTTTTAGCGAGAGGGTTCAAATTAGGTAGATGTTTTTTCAATTAATTTATCGACCAAGTTAATAATTTGCCTACAAAGCCTTATTACAGTGATAGATTGACGTCACCGAAGAAATTAATGAATGAAGTCCTTTTCTGTACATCAAAAATTTTAAATCTGTCGACCGTATTATTTTCTTCATTTCATTCTCAACAGAACATCCATTTTTCGTTGGCGTACAATTTCATCCGGAATTTTTAACGCGACCTCATAAACCGTCACCTCCTTACCTTGGGCTCATTCTTGCAGCCAGCGGAAAATTGACAAACTATATATCGAGAGGGTGTCGTATGTCACCAAGCAACAGCTTGGGGAATTTATCCTCTTTCAAAGAATTGTCAGTCTGAGGTGGATATAAGCAAATGTATTGAGTTTCGTCACATGGTGATTTTTGTGGACACTGGCCATGAGAGCTCGGAGTTCAAAGTGGAAATAAAGTTCCTATGGCATATGTATGTATAAGGAGATCAAGTACATTGATTGCTCATGTACCATCCTCACAATGACATAAATATAAAGTAATCAAGTACAGTGATTGCTTATATACCATCCTCTCAATGACATAACTATAAGGAAATCAAGTACATTGATTTTTTATTGACTACGTACTTTCACTGCCGTGGCCAGCTTGCATATTTAGTCCTGCTATGTTAATTTTTCTGTGTTAACTTACTTTTGAAAACAAAACATAAAAAATGAATAATTGTAATGTTTGGAAATTTACATAGCATGACCAAAACATGCCGACTGGCTATGGCACTGACCACTCTCATTATGACATAAGCATAGGAAATTCATTTTTTTTACTTCAGCACATGTTAGATTAACTCAATATTTAACTTTTTTAGTTTAAACACTTATGCCTTGTGTACACTATATATGTGGGAAAAACTGCCAGCTATATTGGCCCAATTAATACAAGAAAATGTTTTCTTTTTTTTGCTTTAATTTTGTTGAATCTTAAGTTTAAATGAGTTGGTATAGTGTAAGCAAGGCATTGGTTGAATTTGGGCAAAAAGTTGCAGTGCTGTGTTCATGTCAGCAGTATATTTATTTGAAATTTAGAAGTTGCATGTCTCCAAACACATGTCTCATACAATACTTTGCAAAAATTACATTGTAATTTGAAATTTTGTTGCTTCATTTGATTTCCATTTTATTGGTCAGATGCAAAAGTTTTATTGGCTAGTTGTTTTTTTACCTAAAGTGCACAGATTTGATTGGCTATCTGGTGCTGCATTCTTATTGGTCATAAACATGCACAAGTGTTACTTGTTAGCTGATACTTCTGTTTTACTGGTCATAAAATGCACATGTTTAACTGGCTAGTTAATGACAGTTTGGTTTTTCATACATCAGGTTTTGCTTTTTGTCGGCATTGACTGAGCTTTAATTATATCAGCTTCCGCTAAGTTTAGTTATTATGTCTAAAATGTACATTTGAAGTTGAATCTCTGTGGAATCATTTGTGAGGTGGAACATCGGTACACCGGCTCTCTGAAGAAGAAATAACAATGATGTGAAAACACCTCAATAAAGTGGAAGCATCACACTAACCTTAGGCTATGGGTTTCTCAGCACAAGTTTAAGTTTTTTGTGATATATATCAATTTCAAAATGCAAATACTATCCTATTATATCCCATTACATACTTGCATAGTGGTTTGTTGATCTGCAACAACACGATCCAACTCTAGCACTAACTTTTGATCCAATTGCACAAGTTCTTGTGCAAGTCGGCTTTCTTGATTTGCCTTTTCTTGTTCATGTTTCTTTCTTATTACAGGAAGGTGATGTGGTTTGTTTGCACATGCATCAATAGCTGCTTTGTGACTTTTATTTTGCTCCAGCCTCTCAGCTACGTAAATATGTTAAAAGAGAGTTTCTAAGAATTCTATGTTCATTTTATATTACACAAAATGCTCAGTAATAGCAAACAATTTTAAACAGTGTAGAACAACATTGAATGAGGTTGAACATCAATACTGAATGATGTGGAACAATGTTTAACAATTCTGAACAATATTGAACAAAGCTGAACATTTGACAATATTATATACAATGTTGAACAATACCAAATGATGTTGAACAGTATTTAACAATACTAAACAATGTTAACAATATAGAAAAATGTCAGCAAAGCTATGATGCCAAACAATTAACAATATTGAATATTAGACAAGCATATAAAACAATGTTGACCCGCACAGAACAAGGTTTAACAAACCTGATATTACAAGTCAGTGGTGTTTTTAATTTCAGGTAATAAGTGCTCAAAAAGTAGATGCATTATATCCATAATATTCTTCTCACAACAAAGTCAATGATTTCTACTCATTGTTTTATACGAAGAACAATCCATTGCACGTTTAAAATATCTTACAATTTTTCTATTATACAAAATCCAAAATACCTTTCTGACCATTGATAACCTTCATTCTTTTGTTGAGCAAATTTCTCTCAGTTAATTGTTGGATATCCTCCAGGCCTCGAACAATTTCAAAAACTGTCCCATCCATCAGGGATAGTGCCAGGGAATTTACTATCTCAGCTGTCATTTTTTCTTGGTAGATGCTAATGAAATTCAAATAACTACTTTTAGATATGTTGCACCATCATTAAGTTCTGCAGTTCTACATACCCCGTACTAGTATGCTCTTACTATAATTAATGATGTTCCAAAGCTAACTTGATTTTACACTGACAAGCGCACGAATGTCCAAATATAGTACCCATTTGCAACAACGCTAAATGGTAGACAAGAGCTTGTGTCAAGTGTCACTGTTTGACAATGTGTTGCTTTTACTTCAGCTTACCAGGACAAAGCAGAGAACATGTTTTCTCATGGAATATTTCATTCCACTTTGCTGAGATTCCTATTTGCTTGTGCTTAGATCTAACCTAACTGAGCTCGCTTTTATTCCATATGAACAAAAAGATGGAAAACATATAAAATACTCTACAAGGTGAGATCTTGGCACATTGTCATTACAGCTAGGCGCAGTCCATCTCAGTCACCTCATATTATACGAACAGGCCCTTTATTTCCTAAAAGTGGGGGGGGGCTGACTGTAAAGTCGGGGGAAGTTAAGTCAAATGTAATAAGGTTATCATCAGTAGCACGTTAGAATACGATTAAACTACATTAACATACATGGGTAACTTGGCCACGATGGACTGTATTTGAGCGGTTAACTTTCTTCGTTTTTCGTCTTCAGCCTTCTTGACGTTGTAAATTTCTTGTTGTTTTTTCTGCTCCTCTTCGCGTTTGAAAACCTCTTCTCGAACATGAGCGAGCAATCCGGCATCGATATCTGGTTGGTAACTTCGACTCGCACTCGGCTGGTAGAAATTCTTCTTTCCTCTCGCGTAAAACTCCATTACTGACTTCCAAGTGGGCTAAGTTTTTACATTTTCCTTTCTTCGAATTCTTACTCCCCCCCCCCATTTGCCAATAAATTTGTTTTAATTATATGAAATTTACATTTTTCCGGGGTGGATTGAATGAAATTTTATTATGTCCATTAATAGTAGTTCCCTCCTGAAATCGTATAGATCAATAGACTTTCAGGGGATACGTTTACTTGTCGTAATTTTAGGAGAAGCGGCCATTTTGAACTTTGTTAGCAACTCGAGGTATTATTTGATATTATTTTCAGAACACTGATCTGTTATTGAACAAATTTTGTCTTGAAAAATGGCAACAGAACCCGTCGTTTTTAAGAAGAAATCCAAACGAAACTTCCGGAAGAAAAATTTGGAGGAGGAAAACGAAGAAGAATTGCAGGCTTCCGAACCTTTGAGCGAACAAAAGACAGATGAAAACGTTGAAAAAAAGGCGAAGAAATCTTCAAAACCTGCGCCAAAAACTCTGCTTAGTTTTGACCATGGCGAAGACGAAGATGAAGAAGTTTTCAAAGTGAAGAAATCTAAAGAAAGCCGGCGCTTATCGAAGCAGCGAGTGAAGTCGAAGAAAACGAGAGAGACAGACGATGAGCCATTGCAAGAAGAGTCGTCAAACACGGCTTTACAAGAAGATGAATCAAAAATTGACGTGGATAAACTGAAGAACCTCCGCAAAGAACTGTCAAATTTAGGTGGCGAAGACGATTTGAGCGAAAATGTTGAGATTCAGAGTAATGCCGACAAAGTTATCAAAAGTGACGGTATTATATTCAAGCCCCTGTGTCCTAAAGCAAACAAGGATTTGCCAATTCACATCCCTGATGCGGCAGCCATACATGCTGCTAGGAAGCGCCGAGAAATGGCTCGACAGATGGGATCGGAGTACCTACCAGTGGATGATACAGATCGATATAGTGGAAGATTTGAGGTGATGGATAAATCAAGATTGGTTCGTGAGGATGATAATGACCACAGCGATGAAGACCCAGATAAGCCTTTGGGTTTTGGGACAAAAAAATCTAACCATCCGGACATGAAGAGGCGATTGGAGGTAGAGGCGGCACTTGCGGAAGAAAGTGGCGAGGACTCAAAAAGCGAGGGAGAGGATGACGCTTTGAGAAAATTTGAGGAAGAACAAATTAGAAAAGCAGTGTCAATCCCACAGTCAAAACAAGAAGAAGATAATTCGTATCAGATGTATTTGACTCAACAATATCTTTACAGTCACGAAAGTATGGACCCCAATTACATCCAACATAATGAGTCTTCAGGTGGTTATCCTAGTTACCCACCAACATCCTTGAATGCTGTCACCATGGATATGATTTGGGAGAAAATGAACAATCGGATTGTCTCTTTACAAGAGGTGAATCGTGGCCGCCACCTGGAAAGGGAAAAGATGACATCTCAGGCAGAGTCGTGCGAAGCAAGCATAACTTCTTTAGAGGAACAGATGAAGGATGCCGAGGGTCGTTATGGGTTCTTCCAAGAAATGAGGGGGTATGTCAGGGATTTGATTGAATGCCTTAATGAAAAGGTGGGTAGGTGAGTTTGGCCCGGATGTCTACACCGATGAGAATATTTGAAAATTAATGTGATCTAAATATTGCTAGCATGAGACCAATGTGATTGGGTTTTATGAGTGCTTGGTTCAACACTTGGTTTAACAAATGTCTTGTGTGACTGTGAAATATGCACAAATGATGGCCTCCTGGCAGATACTTGCTACGGACATTTTCAAACAGCCTCTCCATATGGTATACTTGTTTTGCCGTCGGCTTTTTGAGTTTGGCTGCTGCAAATTGCAGTTTTGGGTATGATAGCCAAGCATCACATTACTTGCATATACCTTACTTTTGATATTATCATGACCAAGAATGAAGTCAAACATTCCATGTTGTAATAAACAGCCTGTCGATTTTTAGAGACTTTTCCTCTGTCAATGTTTTCAGTTTAGCCCAGTACTGCAAATTGCAATTTAAAGTATGACATGCATTAATTGTGCATAGTTGAACGTGTACATGTTTGTAAATGTAGATCGTCCAGGTTGGTATAGTCCTGAGAAGCGGTAGTCATCTTCAGAGTCAAATGACTACCGCTAAGGTTGTCGAAACGTCAGTCAACAACAACAAAAACAGTCCTTCTCAGGACTATACAAACCTGGACGATCTATATTTACAAACATGTAACGATATTCCCGGGTTCAAACCATTTATTTCAGTTGAACGTGTGTTAGTTTTCTATTATGGTGTAAAATGTTCAGTATCTTGATATCCAAAGGATATTGTGAAATTTTTTTACACACAAGTTTATATAAATTCACCCTTTGACATAAGTTCAACAACCTTATCGACATGCTGTTGTTTTGATTTCATTGTAAGTTTTGATTTATATGCACTTACGTATACTATATATGTATTTTTCACTAGTACACCATTCAAACAATGAGAGTGCAAATTTGCCTTTCATACCAACATGTATTTTCTTATGATATGCAATACTGGCTTACGGTGTCTAAAAGTCTGATGAAAACCTTGTGTATTTCATACAAATAATGAGTTTAAGTACATTTTCAACCACTACAATGTGTATTCTTCTTCATTATGGTTTATTGTTATGCCAACATTGTATTTTCCTACTTTATATGAAGGAGGTGTAGTGTACCTGAATATTATTATTCAAAAGTAGATGTTATTTTCATTTTTTTATTATAAATATTGTTACCTAACATAAGATGTGTTGAACTACAATATTCACGATGAAACTTTGCTTTCAGCCTGGAAAATCTCTGGCCATAACTTTTGATAAACACTACAGTCACTGTTGTTTTATATTATTCACAGGTGCCTCTGATAGATGATTTAGAGTCAAGAATGCATATGTTATTGAAGCAAAGAACAGAAAGATTGATTGAAAGACGACAGAAAGATGTTCAAGATCAAGCAGAAACATTTGCTGCTGCTCAAACAGGTAGGAGGTTTGTCTGCTCTACATCACTGCATGCATATGATGGAGTGCATCCTGTGTGTGGGGAGTAGTGTGATGTACATCACTGCATTCAGAAGATGGAAGGCATCCACTATGTGTGTGTGTATCGCGGGGGGGTCGTCAGATCTGCATCACTGCATGCAGATGATGGAGTGCATCCTGTGTGTGGGAGGGGGGGGAGTAGTGTGATGTACATCACTGCATGGAGAAGATGAAGTGCACCATTATGTGTGTGTGTATGGGGGTAGTGTGATCTACATCACTGCATGGAGAAGATGAAGTGCATCCATTATGTGTGTGTATGGGGTAGTGTGATCTACATCACTGCATGGAGAAGATGGAGTGCATGTGCATCAATTACAATGAACGTGAGTTTAATTCGCAGTTAAAATAACTCAGACTATAAGTGGAAATTTTTACCCCTTCCTTTCTCACCCCCTGGAAGTATCCATGGAACAAATTTTCCAGTTGCTGAATACTGGAGAATTGAAAAACACTGTTGTGTAGTTGTCTGAATCTCAGACTGGCAAAAGTCCTTTCCCTCCTGAATTGGACACTTGCCATACAATTTACTGTGTCAGCATTTTCTTTTACCTCATTATAAGGCAAACCTGTCCAAACGAAGCCCGAATTGGACGAGTTTGGTCGCGACAAGAGCGGATATTTGGAACAAGCGAAACAGAGAAGAGCAGTGGAACGGGAAGCTCGACGCAGTCGAAGACGAAAGGAGAGGGAGAATTCTTTGTCGAAAAGTGACGAAGTAAGACAAACGCATCACGAAGGATTTTCTTCAGACGATGAAGAAGGCAGTGGGGAGACTTTACGAATTAAAAACGAATCAGGTATGTACAGCGGTTCTACGAAGACCATAACGCCAGAAAAACAGAGAGGTTGATTTACTGAGGTTATGGAGGTGTGTGGATCACCCCTGACCTTGATTAGAGTGTGCGCAGTACTAGCGCCAGTGTCCCCTCTCAGCAATAGTTCATCAAGGAATAATGCAAATGTAACTTTGCTCTGAATGGCGTATTTGTAGCTTTAGTATGAGCTCTATTGCTATTGTGTAGCTCTAGTATGAGCTCTACTGACTATTGAGTAGCTCCAATATGAGCTCTACTACTTTTGAATAGCTCTAGTATGAGCTCTACTGACTATTGTGTAGCTCTAGTATGAGCTCTACTACTATTGAATAGCTCTGGTATGAGCTCTACTACTATTGAGTAGCTCTGGTATGAGCTCTACTGACTATTGTGTAGCTCTAGTATGAGCTCTACTACTATTGAATAGCTCTGGTATGAGCTCTACTACTATTGAATAGCTCTGGTATGAGCTCTACTGACTATTGTGTAGCTCTAGTATGAGCTCTACTACTATTGAATAGCTCTAGTATGAGCTCTACTGACTATTGTGTAGCTCTAGTATGAGCTCTACTGACTATTGTGTAGCTCTAGTATGAGCTCTACTACTATTGAATAGCTCTAGTATGAGCTGTACTGACTATTGAGTAGCTCTAGTATGAGCCCTACTGGCTATTGAATAGCTCTAGTATGAGCTCTACTGGCTATTGAGTAGCTTTTAAAGTGCCTCTTTCATCAAGCACCTTTAGCTGCAATTTCTCACGTATCAGTAAAAGTAGTTTTTAGGTTTGTCAAATCGTTCTATTTTTATGACTGTTTAAAGTTGACAAAAATTCTCCTTTTAATGGCCTCGTCCGTCGTTTGAAAAGTCTGGTACGACTTAATTTTGTGACGTCATGCAAGGGACACCTCAATACATGATATGTATACCAACGGACTTGTATGACGTCAGAATTTGGCTACACTCAGACTTCATGCCACAACGAACAAGATCCATTGAAAAACAGCTTAAAACCTCCATAATGTCCATACGTGGCGTAAATATACTGCCACCGAAAGGGTTAAATACGCAATCTTTTTGACATAATCCTTTGGTTTTCAACAGTTCTTTGAAAGAGCCACTCGATTGTCATTCACCATGACAAATACGCTATTCAGAGAAATGAGTCTTTATTTTGCGAATGCCATTGTGATTTGCTTTTGATGGACACACTCGAAAAAAATCGTATCTGTTCATTTTGTATACATTCCTACATTTAGTGAGTTTTACCCTTCATATCCTATACATTCCTATGTGTAATGATTCTTACTCTTCATTTCCTGTAGAAAAAATACGCGACGAAGCTACAAAGCTATTTGAAGATGTCATTGAAGACTTCGGCAACATCAAACCTATCATTGACAGGTTTCAGCTATGGAAATATGGCTTTTCTGACACATATAAACAGGCATTTGTTCATTTATGTCTGCCAAAACTTGTTTTACCTTTTGTAAGAGTACAATTGCTCGACTGGAATCCGCTCGAGGTAAATATATAATCCTGTCGTATTTCCTTGATGTTCTTAAAGTTACATATACGTAGATTCAATAATTTTTTTTGTGCAGAAAAACTGCAAAGATTTTGAAGAAATGCAATGGTTTGAAGATGTGATGTTTTACGGAGTGAAAGACAATTCCTACGATGAAAATGATGAAGATACAAACTTCATTCCTCGTCTTGTTGAAAAGGCTCTTTTACCAAAACTAACAGGTAGTTTTGTTAGATTTAAGACTTGGTTTAGTATTGGAGTTAGGTTAGTCTGGGTTAGAATTGGGTTATGTTAGATTTAGGCTTGATTAGCGTTGAGTCAGTTTTGAAGTTTGGTTAGGCTGGGTTAGATTAGATTTAGGGTTTGACTTAGTATTAGGGTTAGGGTTAGGGTTAGAGATTGGTTTAGTATTAGGGTTAGGTTTGACTAGTTTAGTGTAGGGTAGGTTTTGAGGTTTGTTTTAGTATGGTAGTTTGGTTAGGGTTGAGTATGAGGTTAGTTTTGTTTAGTATTATGGTTAGATAAGGCTGGATTAATGTTGTCCTAGTTTATGTTTTGTTTTGTAGTTAGAGTTAAGTTAGTGGACTTAAGATCTCGCTTAGCTGTTTAATTTATGTAAGGAGGATATTAACTAGAAGCTTGTTGTATTTCAGCTATTTTTGAAAATATTTGGGATCCGTTGTCGGCAAAACAGACTTCATGTGCTGTAAGCATTGTAAAACGTTTGGTGTTTGATTACCCGACAATCTCAGCCGAAAAGAAACACACGCAGGTATGTTTTCAAGGACAGTCATTCAGTACTCCGATATTTTGACTGTTTTTATTGCTTGTGATCCTTATTTCACTGATAAATGCATGAAAGTATTTCTCCTCCCTGATTGGCTGTAGAATTGCAATGCAGTCACGTGGTATCTTAAATAAACTGTGCGGAGATAGACGTCATGGTCAACGATGATAACCTTAAATGCTCGCTTTAGCGCTGCTCTCATTTAAGCGCCGCTTCGCGCCGCCCTCGAAATACAAAATGTTATTTAGCGCCGCTTGCGGTTAAGCGCCGCAGCTGAGTAACTTATGTAAGTGCGGTGCTTGTTGGAAAGAAATATTGACTTATCAAACTCTATAGTTTACGACAATCGTGTTCTGTACTTATTTGATGCTATTTGCGTTAAGTTATATTATATTATACTATATTATATCATGTCAATAGATTTTGTCTACTCGTTAGTTTCCCGAGTTGATAAAAATATTTGGTGTGAACCTTTAGTTGCAAAATGATTAATAAGCGCCGCATTCACAATTGGAAAAATTAAATAAGCGCCGCAACGCTGCAGCAAGAGTTTACGTTATCTCACCATTATATTTTAACAAGTGACGAATCTTAATACTGTGCCGTATTCTGTGTTATTCAGTGGTACTCTGTTGTATTTTGGGGTTCTCTGTTGTATTTTGTGGTACTCTGTGTTACTCAGTGCTACTCTGTTGTATTTTCGTATTAATTCCGAAATTCGTTGCCAAGAAATGAAATACTTCGTATATGCTTGTTGCGTTCTGATTTCATGCAATATCCAATCTCCAAGTGTTCATAGCTACATTGTATGCTTGGTAAATAGTATTGCTAAAGTAATGTCAGGAAAAAACATGAAATCATTCCAAATTGTGATGATAACTTTCATGATTCATCTGATACACACGTTACTTCATTTAAGCACAATTTGAAAATCGTTTTTGGCCAAGATGAGTGTGTAAAAGTTTCAAATGGCTGTTGTAGAGGCAGCCTACCACCTGCCCTCAGTGGCGGATCCAGAGTACTTCAAAATAAATTACTGCAGCACATTTTGGCGTATCCATTTGTAAAATTATACAATTTGCTTAGTAAATGCACTCAAGAATTCACATTGCACAATAGTTGCCCAGCACCTGACATGGCCCATGGCCCTGTGTTATTGCAACAATAATCTCATTTCTCGGTTTCCCAATTGCTTATATCGTAGACATGATTGTGTTGTATTTCAATTTCTACAGGCTTTATTCAGCGCAGTCATCACGAGATTAAAGAAATGTATCAACGATGACATCTATGTTCCACTTTATCCAAAATTGTAAGTTTCCTCTAAACTCTTAAGCCTTTTGAAAAGTTTTTCTCCGTGGTATAAGATGTGACCATTCTCTACTTAAGTGAAATTTGGTGCGTTGATTCATATTTTTGCAATGGAACGTGGTGTACAGTATGTTTTTACTAAGTTACAGATAAAGGGCGTGTATAAAAAAAATGAAAAGTTAGGAAACCTTCGCTGAAGTGATCAGCACGCAATGAACATTTAGGAAACCTTCGCTGGAGTGATTAGCACGCAATGAACATTTAGGAAACCTTCGCTGAAGTGATTAGCACGCAATGAACAGTTAGGAAACCTTCGCTGAAGTGATCAGACGCAATGAACATTTAGGAAACCTTCGCTGAAGTGATCAGCACGCAATGAACATTTAGGAAATCTTAGCTAAAGTGATCAGCACGCAAGATCAGCACGCAAGATCAGCAACAACCTTTAGTAAAATATTTGTAGTTAGACTTGGTTCATCTGACTGTAGTAAACAGATATATTTAATACTAATGACTTAATGTTTTGTTATTTAATTATAATTGATAAGAATTGAACGTGTTGACATGAGCTATATGTAGGTATGAAAGGTATAGAACTTATAGGATAGCGTATTGGTTTCATTTGCATTGGAATTAAAAATATTATACTGACAGTAAATTTTTTTAAATAATAACCAATTTTGAGTGAGAATGGTGTTGCCGTGAAGCATTTTTGAAATAGCTTGCGCACGAAAATGACACAGCTAAAAAGCATTTGGGACACTTAGGGTTAAAATATGACACATGTTGTTCTAGCTTACAAAACGAAAAATCTAGGATAACCCTTTGTTTGAAAGCCAAGCGTTCGCGCACGTATCAGCCAAATTTTTTTAGCTTTAACAACATGTGCCATATTTTAACCCTAATTGTCCCAATTGCTTTTTAGCTGTGTCATTTTTGTGTGCAAGCCATTTCAAAAGTGCTTCTCGGTAACACAATTTTTACCTTATATTTTTTTTATTATTTGCGACAATTTTACTGTCAGATGGAGCATTGCAAATAGAACTAATTTCACGAAGGTTTTTGCAGATATTGCGCGCTGATCACTTTAGCGACGTTTTTCTAACTGTTCAGTTTTTTTATACAACCTGTAGAGGTGAACTTCCAGGTTAACGACGTATCTCGCCATTTTATTCTTATCAAGTATCTCTATGGTCCCCGGTGATACCGAATTGTGGTCTGTGGTTCTGTGTTGTACTCAGTGGTATCATGTTGTACTTTTTTGTACTTTTTTGTAGTATGTGATACTCAGCGGCAATCTATTGTGTTCTGTGATACTCAGCTGTAGTCTATTGTACTCTTTGTTACTCAGGGGTAGCCTATTGTTCTCTGTGGTAGTGTGTGTTGGTCAGTGGTATTCTGTTGTAATTTTTGTATCCTGTAATACTCAGCTGTAGTCTATTGTACTCTGTGTTACTCAGGGGTACCTATTGTGCTCTGTGGTAAGTGTGTGTTGGTCAGTGGTTTTCTTATGTATTTTTTGTATTCTATTGTACCCAGCTGTAGCCTATTCTATTCTGTGGTACTCAGGGGTACCCTATTGTTCTTTGTGGTAGTATGTTTTGGTCAATGGTAATCTTTTATACTTTTTTATACTCTGTGATACTCAGTGCTGTTCTGTTGTACTCCATTGTACTCAGCTGTAGTCTATTGTATTCTGTGTTACTCAGTGGTACCCTATCGTACTTTACGGTACTTTGTGCTACTCAGTTGTAGCACTATGTGGTTTTCTGACTTACTCTGCTTTTGCCTTTTGTACTCTGTGATACTCAATTGTAGCACATTGTACTCTTCCCAGTAGTACTGTATGATTTCATGCAATATCCAATCTCCAAGTATTCATAGCTACATTGTATGTTTGGTAAATAGTATTGCTAAAGTAATGTCAGGAAAAACGTGAAATCATTCTTTATTTTAATGATGAATTTCATGATGCATCTGATACACACGTTACTTCATTTAAGCACAGATGAGTGTGTTACTTCATATACGTCGGCTTTTTGATCATTTTATTACTAAAATTTATGTGTGTAAATTCGCAAGCATTTGCATGTTTAACAAAGCTTTATACATATACTATAGTTTACTTGAGAAAAAGTCTCTTGGTGCCGAAATATTTGTCGAACGTCAATTTTGGAGTTGTGTGAAGGTCAGTGAATACAACACACTTACGATTGTGATATTGAAGCCTCGTTCTCATTAATCGCAAAACGTCGACGATAGAGCTTTAAGACGTTGGCGAGCGCTTACGATTAGTGAGAACGCATTAAAAATTGTGTTGACGATTTTTTGTGACGTTCGCCGAACATCGACGCTGCGATCGCAAGAAACAAAACAGTTCGTTTTTTGCGATCATCGCCGATCATTTCCGAGTGCTGCTTGCTTAAAAAAACTTTTAGAACGAGAATCTGTTGAGTCAGGCTACTTTGGCAGTTTATATTACAAACAATCGAAGCTGCACTGAAATTATCAACATTAGATTAAAAGGAGCAATTTTTCTTTGTTATGAATATCAAAGCGCTTTGACGAATATATCATCGCAGATTTATGAAAAAAATTTCGTGTACCGGCCATCACCGACCATAGGCGATGAGTGTACCGGCCATCGCCGACTATAGGCGATGAGTGTCGCTTATTCTAGCGACACTTTGCGATGAATGAGAACTAAGCTTTATGAATAATATAACGACATTAACGGGAATAATTACGATTTTTCAGTTATTGAGTAACATATTTCTCTGGCATGGTCTTATTTCTACGTCAAAACTGCAAGAATTGGCAGTAGATGGTGTTCTGAATCGATATCTTTTGCTGGCCTTACAACATGCCTCGGGAAAGCATTATGAAAATGTAGTGAAATGTCAGGCGGTAAGTATTTTGCGGGCTGTACAACATGCCTCGGAAAGGATTATGAAAATGTAGTGAAATGTCAGGCAGTAAGTATTTTGCAGGCTTTACCACATGTCTCGGGAAAGCATTATGAAAATGTAGTGAAATGTCAGGCAGTAAGTATTTTGCAGGCTTTACAACATGTCTCGGGAAAGCATTAAGAAAATGTAGTGAAATGTCAGGTAGTAAGTAGTTTGCAGGCTGTATAACATGTCTCGGGAAAGCATTATGAAAATTTAGTGAAATGTCAGGCAGTAAGTATTTTGAGGGCTTTACAACATGTCTCTGAAAGGCGTTACAAAAATGTAGCGTTACAGTAATCCGACAGTCTGGGGGTGTGTTGAAATTAGTCAAATAATTGGGGTCAATGATTGTAATACATGAATGTCTTTGGTTTTCTTCTCTTTATCAAGAAATGCATTTGTATATAAAAGTTTTTTAATATATGAAAATTTAGTATAGAAAAGTTTGCCCAAAATGTCGTCTTTGAAAATGGTCACGGTGGAAAAGCGAGTGATCACATTAAATTTCTTTTCGCCCGTCAAGTGTTTCTGCAAATACATTGTCAACGTCAGTAAATGCACTGAAATTCTATTCAGTGACGCTAATTTTGTTGTATTTTAGATTGTCATGGTTCTTCCTCGGGACTGGTTCGAGGGAAAGCGTAGGACCACCGTGGATTGCTTGGGATCTTTCTCTCGTTATCTTGAAAACTTGGCTAGTTCAATAAAGCTAAAAGCCGAGGGATCCACTGCCCAAGAAAAGAAAAAAGCTAGGTAATGTAAATCGTTTGCAATTATTGTCGTTGAATTTGAAATTCTAATATCTGATTGTTTATTTAGCTATTTTCTGTTTTTGATAAACAACAATTTGAAAAACACGATATTTGACTGAAATATCGTTTGGCAGAATTCTTCATCAATTGAATCTTTCCATAAAGCAATTCATTCTCTTCGTTTACATGGCGTATGTTAAAACCATGCGCTTCTCCAACTTATTTGCTCAGTGATCTAACCAACTTATTTGCTCAGTGGTCTAACCAACTTATTTGCTCAGTGTCCTAACCAACTTATTTGCTCAGTGGCCTAACCAACTTATTTGCTCAGTAGCCTAACCGACTTATTTGCTCAGTTGCCTAACCAACTTGTTTGCTCAGTAGCCTAACCAACTTATTTGCTCAGTGGCCTTACCAACTTGTTTGCTCAGTGGCCTAACCAACTTATTTGCTCAGTGGCCTAACCAACTTATTTGCTCAGTGGCCTAACCGACTTATTTTCTCAGTTGCCTAACCAACTTGTTTGCTCAGTAGCCTAACCAACTTATTTGCTCAGTGGCCTTACCAACTTATTTGCTCAGTGGCCTTACCAACTTGTTTGATCAGTAGCCTAACCAACTTATTTGCTGAGTGGTGTGACCGTCTTTGGTTATTAACTCACTGTAAGAGCAATATAAGCTGGCCACACTACGAACTTAGCTGTAACATCATTTCCTGACAGCGTTGTACATTTGCATATCATTTTTCCTCGTGTAGTTCCATTCAACAACGACACGCTACAAAATTCTTCCATCCTGAGTTATGAAATTGTACTCTTCCCATCTGATTTGTTGATTTTGCTGCATTGTCTTATTTGCTATTTTAGATCCGCAATAAAGAAAATTATTTTGATGATGGTTCAAATTAAGGCGATGGACATGGCAGAAATGTTCAAAATGTCCTCCTGACGAGTTAACAACATAACAAAACATTTCAAACACGCCACCGATGTGGCAAAAATAGTGTGTATTGTATATACTTGTAATGATAGTAAATATAGATTTGTCGTGGGAAGCAGTTTCGACTTCATTGAAGAAGTAAACATTGGTTACATGTTTGTAGATGTAGATCGTCTAGTTTAGTTAAGTCCTGAGAACTGTTGGTGTTGATGTTGAATGCTAAGGTTGGTGTTGATGTTGAATGCTAAGGTTGGTGTTGATGTTTAATGCTAAGGTTGGTGTTGATGTTGAATGCTAAGGTTGGTGTTGATGTTGAATGCTAAGGTTGGTGTTGATGTTGAATGCTAAGGTTGGTGTTGATGTTGAATGCTAAGGTTGGTGTTGATGTTGAATGCTAAGGTTGGTGTTGATGTTGATTTTGGCTGTTGGTGCTTATGTTGACTGCTACCGCTAAGTTTGTCGAAACGTCAGTCAACATCAACATCAATACCAACAGTCTTTCTCAGGACTCTACCTACCTGCACGATCTCCATCTACAAACATGTAACGATACTCCCGGGTTCAAACGATTCACTTTATTTCGGACATTTGTCTTGAAAAAAATATTTAATACACGTAGACTCATCCATATGAAAAAAAGATGTTTACTGTGTTTGCACAGGCTTATGCAAACCGAGGAGACCTTTGAGAGAACTCGAAAATAGATCAGTGCTAGACAGAGACTGAAGTTTTAGGTTTATTGCACCTTTCTCGAGATTTGCCACTAATGTCTCCGAGATTTTCATAAGCCTGTGAATGCGAGAAAATCATCTTTTATTTCTTTTATTGATTTGCCAATTCTGTTTCACTGGTTGAGCTCAGATCGGTTTGTACAGGATAATGCAAACTCGGCAATAGACCAATCATGACACGCGTTATATTTTCCTTATTTTGAAAACGGCCCTTCACGCCATTTCATTGGGCTCGCCTGATGTCTCTTTTGGCAGAGAAACGCTTCTAAGATGTCAAGTTTTCATTTTTTATTAAATACATATCTTTGGGGAACACTACGTCAGTCTTGTGTTAGTATCTAATTAACAATTCCATGCATTGCAAAGCATGATGGAAATATGGTTTATTCTTGTATGTATTCAGTATATTACTAACACCTACTCTCCTTCTCAGGACTGAACTAAAAACTGGAGGACAAAGAAGAAATAATACTCTCTTGTTCAGACGGTTTTACTTAGTTCAACTTTTAGTATGTTGTACGAAATGCGAAGCCCAGGACGGTTTACTAGAAAATGCCTCTGACTTGACAAAGGCTTTAAGCTAACTGAAGTGATAGACGCTTTACAATTTTGTAATATGCAATACGTCTTATCAAAAAACCAAAAATTAAATCATTGAATGAAATACAAAACTTCAGTGGCTTCAGCGCTTAAGCGCTTTAAATTTCTAAGCTGATGGGATGTGATTGGTTGAAATTCGGCCCTTTCATTTTGAGCGTCCGCCCTTAATACTGAATTTTGATTATTCACACGCACGTTGTCAATTGCTGCCGGTTGCGTCCTTCACATTGCGATTACTTTCCCTTTTTACAATCATTTTTATGTTATTCGGTATTAAAGATTAGTGCAGAAAATCAACTTTAGAGGATTACATTAGTGCGTAATGGATCGATTTCGTGGAAGGACATTTCCAGATTCGGTTGCGGAAAAACTGGATACTTTAGTCTCGAGTGGTCAAGTTGATTCACAAGAACTTGACGAAGGAGCATACGATGCTTTGAAAGATTTGACCGAGGACGGAGCACTAACTGTACTGGACCAATTTTTAGGATGCGATTTAACTCATATAAACAACAAAAGTGCCTATCTATGTGGAATTATAAAGACGCATCGTGAGAAGCCAGTGCAAGATGGAATGATGAATGTTAGCAACGAAGCGACGGCGCCGCTTGTCGAAGGTGCACCAAATGAAGAAAAGATAAAAGAGCTTTTAAATCGTACCGGCTATAGCCTTGATATAACTGTTGGGCAAAGAAAGTACGGTGGTCCACCGCCTGGCTGGGATGGACCGCCACCGCCAACAGGAGCATCGGTAAGTAAGATTTTCGTAAACAAAATAAATTTTGAGTACTCTTTACGATAGTGTAGTATGACCACCTTAATCGGAAAGAACGCGAAAGTATTTACAAATTGAAATTCGAGAGCTGTGTTTGCCGCGTGAGTAGTTCACTCGCTACCCGTACTTCCTTGTCCGTAGAAAATAATTAGTTGTCTCTTCTTGAGAAACCGTTTGTTTTATCAAACGGTTTCTCAAGTCACGTGGCCGAATGTGTTGCAAATTTTTATTGAGATGTCAATTGCAGAGTAAATAACTTCTGAATGCATATTTTTACCCAGCAATTTACATTGTACTATCTTTAAATCCTACATCATGGTGGACAGACATGCAAATATGCCATGTGTGCACATTGTTATGTACCACTGAAAAAATATGTTGTTTTACATTGAGGTGAGATTTAAGGCTGAAATTTCAAACTCTTCACAATTCTGCACATTTTAATCTTCCTTTGCCACTTTGTAAATAGCTGCCTGCTTTTTCAATAAAGCCCCTTACCTTGAATAGTTCGGAAATGCTAGCTAGTCTGCAGTTCAGGTGGCAACAATGGACTTACTTGCAGAATGCTCCTTTTTTGGATGAAAAAAATTGCCAAATGTTGTGAGTTCATTCAGTTTAATTGTCTTCATGTATTTTGGGCTCTTCTGGGATTCATTCATGAATACATACATGAAATATAACATGACTAAAAATGCCAATTATGTTTTCATATTTGGACATAATAAATAAATCATCAAATTACTTCAAATACCCAAGAGTTGCTTTCAGTGACTCCATATTGCAAAATTTATCAAATGATTATTGATAATTTTGGTGAATTGAAATATTGATTGTCATAAAACCCCAGTCATTTAAATTTGATCGAAACATCTTGGATAAACCAATGTAATTATAAACCACTTTTTTGACTATCAAAGATGTGTAAGTATTGGCATCTAGGCAGATATTTGATACAGGACATTTGCAAACAGTCTCTATATGGGGCGATACTTAAATACACTTTCATCTTTTTGAGTTTCTTTGCCGTAAGTTGCAATTTTGGGTATGATAACCAGGCGTACACATTATCTTTCTCTGTTACTCTGGATAAAAAGATGGAAAATGAAGTCAGACTAATCAACAATAAAAAACTTTATATGAAAACATCATGTATATGTGTTGTAATATCTCAAAAATAATGTGGAATTTGTCAGGTTAAATTTCAATTGTGGTCACATGACCCTTGCTTGGCTTTTAGGCTATAAACTATAAGCAAATACTATAAGCAAATACATATATTGAGCATTTTTGTGATTGGCTGTTGTTGGCTAAAATTCCTGAAATTTTACTGTTGCCAAATGCTATAAAGTGGAAATTGACTTGTCCAGCAAAAATTGTTTTAAACATTTAGGGACCAATTACATGGAGTCATTTCAACCCAGTTGGCCAGGCTGAAATTTTGTGTGGTTATATGGTCAATTTCAGCCCGGTGTTTAGACTGCGCTGAAATTTACGAAGCTCGTCCGAGCCATGATCGCCAGTTGTCGTTAATTTGTTGTCGTCATCATAAGCAATAGGTGCACAATTACACACGCGTAAATATTTTCAGCTGTGCACAGTTTCTACCCCCCCCCTAAATTTAGGGGGGTCTTGGTATTTTCAAAAATGCCTTCTAGGGGTGGGTCGAAAAATTTTTGAATTTCTAGGGGTGGGTATGTCTATGTAGGGGTGGGTTCGGAGATTTTCCCTATTAGAAAAATTAAAAAATAGATGAAATGCATCTATGATAAAAAAAGTTAATAACTTCAAAGTTCAACATCACTCAATTTTTGCCCCCATGTTATTGCATCATCTATCTTCATATTACCCTATAAGGGACCAAAAATATCTCCCTAATTTGACACCATGTTATTGCATCAGCCATTGATTGCATCAGCCATTGGCGAGTTTGGTGAACTTGCTTGATTGACAATATTAGTGAATACATAGACTTTATCAGTGTTGTATATAGTATGCATAGAGAGACCATAAATAAGTTTAAAATCAGCTTTCCCGTAGAAAACGAATTTTTGTTCGGCTCGTATGTAGGGGTGGGTAAGGAAATTTTGGACCCAAATGTAGGGGTAGGTTACCAATTTGGGGTGGGTATGTCTATGTAGGGGTGGGTTCCAACCCCTCTAGAAACTATGCTGTGATTTCAAGCCGGGCTGGCTGAAATATCTGTCATGCCATCGCGTACGCTATTTTGATTGGATATTATAACAGGCTTGGGCTGCAGTTGCGCCATGTAATTTTCCCCTCAGGATGGACAAGAAATGTTTAATTAATCTTGTACTCATCAGATTTTTTGATAATTGTTATGATATAAATTTAAAGTGCCTACATCAGATTCAGGGAAATAACTTGTTTAAATGATTAAATCAATTTTAGAAACATTTGCAATGTATTTCATTGGTCGGAAATTTTATCTTAATGGGCATTTTGAGTCTAGAAGTAGTTGACTTTGCGCCGAAAGTGACGTAGAAAGAAGGAAACGCACTTTTAAAACGTTTTCATTGATTATTCGCTCAAACGATGTCGTCGAATTATACAACTATGTGGCATCGTACATTTATACTGCGTTTTTTAAGAAGATTTGCTATAACAGCTTTATTCAGAATATTGAAAGGTAATAATTACGTCACTTCCGATAACAAACACCTATGAAGATAAACTTTTCGTCCTATCAATTGTATTGCAAACGTTCGTAAATTCATTTTCACTGTTTAAATAACTTAAAGTTTAGAGCTTGGCAACTCCAATTTGCGTATTTCGCGAAAAAGTTTATGTAAACAAACTTTAATTTCGATTCTTTTGGGAAAATATTCAAAATATTGCAAACCCCGTCGTAAAAAAATGATTGCTTCCCCCAAACTCGTCTGTTTCAACGGTAACAAGTAATGTATGGACAAAAATAGCCTTGTTTGACTAACAATTATCTTCCATGATTATACAGGGCTGCTGCCAAGTGTTTGTTGGTAAAATACCACGTGACATGTACGAAGACGAACTCGTGCCGCCTTTTGAACAGTTCGGACGAATCTATGACTTCCGGTTAATGATGGATCCCCATACTGGTCAGAACAAAGGATACGCGTTTTGTACTTTTGCCGACCGCGATGCCGCTCTGAACGCGTGTAAGAGTCTCGACAATCAAGAGATACGAAAGAGTCGTCGTTTGGGCGTTTGTATCTCTATTGCCAACGACAGACTTTTTGTCGGGTCCATTCCAAAAACGAAGACGAAAAATGACATTTTGGAGGAGTTCCGTCAGCATACCGATAATCTTAAAGATGTTATCGTTTATATGTCTGCCGAAGATAAATACAAGAATCGAGGTTTTGCCTTCCTGGAGTACGACACGCACAAGGCTGCCGCCCAAGCAAGAAGGAGACTCATGAGTGGACGAATCAAAGTTTGGGGACACATTGTGCCAACTGTGGACTGGGCCGACCCTATTGAAGAACCGGATTCGGAAACAATGTCAAAGGTAACTGGGAAAGATGTAATAGAAAGAGTTGCCGTGAGAAATTGCGTTGAATAAGGTCAATTATTACTCACTATGTAAACAGTGTCGGCTGTGATTGGTCAACTACCTGCGAATTTCTCGATATCTGTAATTGTAACGTCAATTTTACTAATAATTCTCGATATCCGTTATTACGTCATATCTACCAATAATTGTTTCTACTTTGATTGACGCCATTAAAAGCCGGTTTTGAAAAATTGAAATAAAAGCGAGGTTTGACACAGTTTATAAAAACGATAAGCGAAAGCTTTTGAGTAAAAAGGATGTAGAAAACCCTAAAAAAGCGATGAAGCTTGGTTTGAATCTATTTACTGCATATTTAAACGAGAAGTACCTGAAAATACCGTTTGACAAAGACAAATTAGCAAAAGCTTGAAATGCTTTACATTGATCAGTATTAGTAATATTTCAGTTAGTTGAAGTGAATACTCAGCTTCCTTTTGGCAGATAACATTGACGTCGATCTGAATAATTCTTGATATCATGCGCAACCTCATCCAATAAGTGTTAATCATTTTTCTAGGCCAAATATTTTAACAGACACGGTTGCCATGAGAAATTATGTTGAATAAGGTCAAATATTTTTCCAGTTTTCTATGGCTTCGTGATTTTGCTTGTAAAGAGATGAAAAAGTTCATCATACCAAACAATACCAGTATATCTTAGAAGTAGTGCGAACATAGATGCAAATATTTTTACCGCAATTGGTCTGATGAGCTCGCACTCTCCCTCTTGCTTTATGGAGTTGTAAAATTCAGAGCAATATTGAATTCGGCTCATTCGAGCAGATCCGGTAAAAAAAATGCCATTGTCGTCACACTACTTGGAAGTCAAAAGATTATGTCGATTGTCGATCGTACTTTGAACATTTATCTAAAAAGGAGTTAAAAACCTTTTCAAAAACTGCATATGGCCCTTCCACCAACACTAGCATTTCTTATAGGTGCCTTGCTTGATTTTACGTTGTTTTTGCAATGTGCATTGCCCTTTTTACCATAGGAGCAAAATCCACACCCCCACCCCCCCAACTCTTGCCAATCCTGGTAGATTGTATATTGATGTTTAGTTGTTTGGTTGTAGTTCACCACACTATAAAAAGGATGAAGCAATATTTCGTTGGCGTTGACAGCATGATAAGGGTGTTGCACATTGCTATACGTTTATATCTCTAGCCATAGGTCATAAAAACGTTTATTTGTAAAAATTACAACGGAATCTGTCATTAAAAGCTTTCCAAAACATAAAATGATCACCATTTTCAATAATGCGCCACAACGCGGTACGAATTGAAGAGAACTGGTATCTAAAGTGTAGCGAAATATTAACGGTTAGCTGTTTACAGAAGGCTGCGTAGCGCTCCGTTTTCGTTCCATTACGTTTAGAAAGTGTGGTCGTTTCGCTCGGGAAAAAGTGACGTTATCAAACAATTCCCCTCCGGTGCAGTACAAACACAACCCGGTTCTGTTCTTTTTTCCACCGTTTTCAGACCAATCCGGAGTATTTTAAACGTAATCTTAAATGTTTCTCCCTCTTTCCAGTTCAACATGTGTGTTTACAATTTTACAGGTTCGTGTTCTTCACGTGCGAAATGTTTCACCAAATACGTCAGAGGAAACACTTCAAAATATGTTCAGCGAGTATGGTGAAGTTGAGAAGGTTAAAAAGCTCAAGAGTTACGCATTCATCAATTTTAAAGAACGAGAATCGGCCGTGAATGCCATAGAAGGTTTAAATGGAAAAAATGTGGATGGTTTGGCCATAGAAGTGTCGTTAGCAAAGCCACAGGTGAACAAAGAAAAACGTCACGGACAATCTGGTTTTGGTGCCCTGAATGCCCCCGATAAACAATCATTTGGTGGTGGTGATATGAGTAGAGGTCGTGGACGTGGTGGTATGAGAGGTAGAGGTGGACCTCGTGGTCGTGGACGTGGTGGTCCTCCCAGAGGTGGTGGTGGTAACTACGGTGGCTCGTATAATGAAGGCTATGGTGGAGGATATGGTCAGGGTTATGGTGGCTATGACAGTTATGGTGGTGGATATGATAGTGGATACGGTGGCGGTTATGGAGGTGGTTATGGAGGTGGTTATGATGATAGTTATGGTTGGGGATATGGTGGTGGCTATGACGATGGATATGGAGGATATGGTGGTGGTTATGATGATGGGTATGGTGGAAGCTATGGTGGTGGTTATGGAGGAGGTGGGTATGGTGGGGAGGTGTGGAGGTGGACCAAATGGTGGGCACCTCGTGGTGGACAACCTGGTGGTGGACAACCTGGTGCTCGAGGTGGTCGAGGTGCGTCTGGCCCACGTGGAGGCTCCGGTGGTAGAGGGGGTCAAGGTCCTAGAGGAGGCGCTCGTGGTGGTGGTCCTGGACCAGGAGCTGTCGCACCAAAAAGGAAATACGAAAATGATCCCGGTGGTGTAGGTACGGTCAGCTATCCCGAACCAAAAAGACGCTTTAACCAACCTGGAACTCAGCCAATCGCCCAACAACCGTTGAAACAAGAGAACCAAGGGTATGGTGGTAATGGTTACGACCAGAATAATCAATGGTACCAAGATTCCTCTTATCAGCAATGGAGCTGAGAGTTTTTTAACGCATTTTTATTTCTGAAATTTTCATATTTCTGGCTTGAGATTTTTTCATTTCTGCGAGATATTGTTTACGAGACGCACCATTTCAGAATTGTGTAAATTTCTGCGGCAACTAAGCTTACTTTAAAAAGAAGTCATGAAGAGTTTTGTTGTTTTAACCAAGAAACATGGTTTTCAATGTACTTCAGGCTGGACTAAGATCAGTAAACTAAGACATCGTAGACGTCAGTTTGACTTTTCCAAGAAGAAAAGAAAATATTTCTGCACATTGTTTGACAGACGCATATGAACAAAATTGTTCTATGATTTTTGTGTCCAAAAACTTTCAATTTCATTTATTATCCTCTCGTGATAATCCTACTTTTTTTTGCTTTTTCATTTATAGAAATATAAAGATCGTATTTTAGTCATGATGTCAGTTTGTCAAAAATGAAAATGTTTTGCGCTTCTTTTCTGCTCAATTTTAGCAAAATGAAATTCTCGGAAACTTTCTATCTTGTTGATTGTGTTTCTCGTCTTCTTTACAATTCTAATCAAAATATGCCAATTGCTTGTTCATAAACCAAAAGAAATTGTGACGTCTTTCTTTGCAAGCCATTGCACTATTCAATCTTTTAGAATGAGCAAAATTTGCTGCGAACAAATGTACAAAAAATGTGGAAAACTAAAACTGTATAAAATTATACAAATGAACTGCGAAATTGATAAATTTTGCTACATTTAAATCGATTTTCAATGCAAAAACATGGAATATAGTCGCGGTCAAACTCAAGCTTGAAAAACATTATTAAAACCAGAAAAATAAATCAATCTTAAATTGAATGCGTAAGTACGTGTAAGCATATCCTTATTGATGTTTTTAGGAGCTAGGTGGATGGACTTGAAAGAATGAATAGTTCTTCAAATATACCATGACATTAAAAATGGTCGTATCGAGTGGGCAGCTTAAAATTTTAGTTGCTGTTCGGCTTAATGAATGCAAACTGTCTTCTGTTCAGTGAAATTATGTTGTTTCACGAGTTGCCCCTTGGGCAGTCCAGTCTGTTTTTAGTAAAAATGATTTATACGAAAGTATAAGATATAAGACGCTCCTACAACCAATCATATTTACAAGTGAAAAGTTAGTGAAGTTGTGCTCACGTTCTGATGAAACTGTATTTGCATTTATGAGTGAATCTTTTTTAGATGCGCTTTGGAGTGCAAAAGAAACTAGAGAAAATTCGATTATATGGAGTCATTAGTGTAAGGTAGGAACAACTTGTGTATATATGTTTTATAATAAAGATTCATCAAACACGATTCCAACTGTCGTAATTTTTCTGGGTTTTCGGGTTCTGTATTGGATTTATAATGGCGTGTTAGTGAAGGAGACGTAGTTTGATTTCAAGAATCGAGAAACTGAAGTTGTACACAAGATTTTTCAGCTATGAGAGTGCGCAAGGATGATGCGCTGAGGCTCCTGCGCACCCGAGACGTGGCTATTTGGCGGGAAAATTGGTTATTGTTGACCATTTGGTGACAAAGGTCTACCACAATGACCAGGTCTTCAATTCACATGTGAAAGGGTGACTTTATGATTTGAACTTGCTTAAGCAAGACCCTATCTGAAAGCGGTAGGTAGGAAATGACCGTGTGTGTTTGGAGTTACTAATGTAATGTCTACGGGCGATGATCTTAGTGATAGTGGCTCCATAACGCCGCCATTGATAGAGGTTCAACGCAAATGGGAAGAATGTCTTGTTGATGAAGATGGTTTTGCCGAAGAAATCTATCCACAACGAAGGAAGGATATTGATGAATATGGTATGCGGTGTTAAAAGCGAGTTTTAAGTGATTAAGTTCAGTTTGTCTCTCAACTTAAATATGGAATTTGCCGATAATCTTTGATACGCCGGCGATCTTCCTGTGTATGATGGGAATTTAATTGAATGAAGTATTTTCTATGGCGAAATGGAAAGGTAAAGTGTTCTCGCACTTTTTAAGGTGCCGTTCCTGCATTGCATTGTTGTCTTGCAATATCAATAAAGTCACGTGACAGACTAAGAGGTGGCTTTATTTATCATGGTTCCCTAACAAGGTAATCCATATATCGTTTGAATTGTGGGAAGGTGGGTTTATATGTGCCAGTAAAGATTGTCCATCAAATGAATTGGGAGTATTGTAATGAAAGTATAATTTGTGCTCTGTCTTAATTGGTTGTTAGTTCTGTTTTATTGCCCCTTCAGCATAAAGGGGGGGAGGTGTGTAAGTACGGTGTGCGCTGCTCCACTAAGATGAAAGTCACTAAATCCTTCCTTATTTCAGGTGTATTTTGCAACTACCTTAACATTTCGTATTCGTACTACCCCTACCTGGAAAATTTATACTTGTCAGATAAGGGTACTATTTGTTTACGAAGAAGTTGACTTTTTAAAGCTGGGTTTGTAAAGTTTTTTTGGTAACTCTACCAACATGTTGTTTTTTCTTTGCAAGGATGGAGTTTTATGGCAATTTTTTCACCTGTTAATGTAACTTTTTTTTGTAATGATTTCCTGTTTTTCTACTCTAATCTGTTGCCTTTTTCCACTATTCCAATCCTTGTGCAAGCGGGTTAAGTATAAGGAAGTGGAAAAGGCAAATTGAAATATTTACTACATAGGCTGTTGCAAAAGCAAGCAACATGTAATCAAGATTTGTTAGAGAAGCCAAGGATCAAACTGTTTGATTTTGATTATGCTTCTGGCAGTGCTCTCATGCAACAGAGAGAGAACCTGTTTTATGCCTTCAGGTAGGTGAGTGAGATGTTATTTGATGTGATTGTTGTGGAGAAAATTTAGTACTCTACTTGCTTGCATCAGTGTCACAAATAAAAATCTGTTTCTGTGTGACCTCTTTCAATTTATTTCAGACAAAAAGTATTTGAGTGTGAAAATCAAGACAACGAACAATGTTTTTCAAGATATATTGCACAATCAGGAAGTAATGATGATTTTTGCTGTTTGCAATGATTAGATTTGTGGTTGGCTGTCCTTAACATACCACAGACAGTCCAGTTATGTTATGGGTCAGCAGTCTCTCAATTGAAGAGCCCTGTTCATGTATTATTCTGTAAATTTGATCTATTGTATCTACAGTCGAAGCTCTGTCATATGTCTTACATGAAGTATTAATCAACAATCTTGTGGAATATACAATTGCAATTGCTATCCACAATGAGAAAATTAAAAGAACAAATTTACAAGAGTACTGAAGCAAGGTGTCCTTGTCACAGTTTTCTGACCGTAACAAAACTGGATTGACCGTGGGAAGGTACACCACCCACATGTTGTCATTGACTAAAGATGACAGATAACACCTTGAGATCATATGTTGTTTTCAACATGCGGCCATTCCCCTTAAGGGTTAAAGCTCCGTAGCTAATTTTAATGCCCGCAGTAGCCATCTTTGGATGGAACAAATCATTGTTGGAGTCCGAGGCTTTGGAAGCTTTCAAAAGTTGTGGATGTTCTATGTTCGCAATATGATAATGCGAGAAACTTAGAATAGTAATGAAACTGCTTCATATTAGTTATTTTTGATAGTTTTTTCTTCCTTTTTCGGCATATATTACAAAAATTGTCCAAAATGCATTACATAGAATTTATTTGCATATATCAGCAATGCTCAAGCCATTTGAAATTTCCAGCTTGCTGGTGCCTGTTCCTTAATTAGGAACTTCAGTGTGCTTGCAAAAACTCAGCGCGCAACATGTCATATATTTTCATCCAAGAAGCTAAACTTGTGGGTGTCCTTCCTATATAGAACATCCACACTCTAAAAGTTGTGGGTGCACTGGCACCCACGGCTTCCCAAGCCCCTGGTTGGAATTACCTTTATTCACACCCCCCCCCCTCATTTTCTCATTGCCATTTTCAATGTTCTAGGGAATTGCAAACAAAAACTTTTTCAAATCAAGCAGTTCCTTTTTCTCTGGTCACCTATAACTGACATATTTTCTACCGGGACTTTAAGGCCAAGAAATATAACATACACGCGGCTTGCACTTATTTTACTGACAAACCTTGTACCGGTAGTTTTACGGGCTCAATTTTGTGCGTGGTAAATCTTTTCAGTATACGTCAGATGTTGTTATCGTTAAATACGTCATGATTCTATTGTTATCATTGTTAATTACGTCATGGTTCTATACTTTATTGTTGTCGTTGTCAGATACGTCGTGGTTTTATTCAAATATCAGGGAGCAATGCAGCCATTTCTTTTGGTATATCGACGCATTTCTCAACAGGTAAATGTTCAATCTAATTGATTTTGGTCCAGTGTTTGAAGAAATATCTCAAATTTAGTCTTGCGTTCTTCTCTATGGTATCGACCAGTAGTGCTATCGATAGTTGGGAGGTCTCATATTCATATATGCAGGATGTGCCGAATTGAGCTCCTTTGAAATGCGTTGTTTTCTGCTAATTTATTTAAAATGCATTGTTTTCTGCTGATTTATTTGAAATGCATGGTTTTCTGCTAATTTATTTGAAATGCATTGTTTTCTGCTAATTTATTTGAAATGCATTGTTTTCTGCTAATTTATTTGAAATGCATTGTTTTCTGCTAATTTATTTGAAATGCATTGTTTTCTGCTAATTTATAACATGCAAATATGAATATGAGCCTCCCCCCCGATTATAGATAATGCCAACTCCTTTGAGCAAACCCCAAGTCTTCATCAGTCACTCTTACACAGTATATAGAACATACAGTAGGGCCACTCCATTGAATTTTTTCGTGTTACGCATATCTTGTAAAGCATGTGATTACCATATTGGCAGCCAGTAAATTGCATTGTGTGACCAATAGGATTGACGATATGGCAAATGGCAGCCAGTAAACAAATTAAATATGCAGCAGCCAGTTGCACAGCGAAATGGCCCTGCTGTATATTCTTATACATTATCTGTATCATTGGCATGATATTGATTCAAGTCTTCATCAGTCATTCTTATATATTATCTACATCGTTATTGATAAAAGAAAAAAGGGCATTTTTATTTTGGAAAAATCTTCTTTCATCCAACCCTCGATATGCAAGATATCAGTTTCATTTTGAGTCAATATTTTTTGTGTAGTCATTCAACGACGATGGAGACCTTTGCGACGTTTTCCAAATCATTGCAAAAAGATTTGGATAGTGCATGGTTATTTATGGGTCCTGTTTCCGACCTGCCAAATGGTTGTTTTCTGAAATTTGATGAGTCGAACGTGGAAAAAAGGCTTTCGCCATCATCGCATTTGCTTCATTTACACCTCGAAACAAAGTGGTGTTTCATCGAGATTTTATGGAAACTCTATTCACTTGAAGGTAGCCTCGTTTCCCAATTTGCCAATGTATCACCCGAGCATCATTCCCAGTCACCTATTGTACTTTCACCCTTTCTACTCCCCTTGCGCATCAACTATATTAACTTTTATTTACTTCATCCTTCTTGCTGCTATCCTCGTGCATTGCATATAGTCACCTATTGTACTTCAGCTTCCTTTCTATCCCCCCTGCGCATCACCTACAATAACTTAATGTACTTAATCCTTCTTGCTGCCATCCTCGCGCATCACATATAGTCACCTATTCTACTTCCAGCTTCCTTACTATTCCTCCCAGGCATATTTTATCCCCATCAGTCACATATTTTATCTACCATAAAGTCATTCGTTATTGGATCATTTTCACTAGTTTTTGTTTTATAAATTCAAAATGAACGGATGCCCGGGCCGGACCCATCTATGCTTCTCTGAACAGTGAAGAAGCGTGTCGGTGTGCTAGATCGTGTTTGTCTCGGGCTCAATCCCTTGCATGTTGAAGTTATCAGTTGCATTCTTGGTCTTACTGTGCAGTTATCTAGCTTAGAATATTTCATGTGATTTGTATATAATATTTTGCCTATAATTTTCTACCTTTTAATTTATGCAAATGGTTACAAACACAAAACCAGCGTCATTTTCAATTGTTGTAGGGGGTGATGGTGCTAGAAAAACTGGGGTGAATCCCACCGCCCTCTCCCTCCGACAATACCCTCAACAAATACATGTTATTTTCGTCTTAGGTGAACCGAGTACAATTCAACTTCATGACATAGAGGAGAAAACAACGGACTTGCTTAATGATCTCATCCACATAGCAACACATATTCACAAGGTATTGCTTTATTTTTGTGCTGCGCGTGTGGTATCAGCCGGAAATCTCCTTTCGACTAACCCTTCTTATGGCTGAATTGCTATGATAATGTTAAGGAACTATGGGTTCTCTTGATACATTTGGGGTTTGGTGTCGTTTGGTGCCTAGTGCCTTGTTAAGTACCGCACCATTCCACTGTACGTATGTAAAAGAACTATGGTTTCCCTTGGTACATTTAGGGTTTGGTGCTTAGCGCCTTGTTTAACACTACCAGTAGCTTAGCGAGCCTGCGGATTTACTCCTTTTTTTAGAATTCTGAAAGATTGTCATTATTCATTTCATTGGAAATCTATTGATCTCACGATCAGTGAACAAAAAAATATTTGTATGGCGGATGTAAAGAGTCGGGCTGGCTACGCTAGTGAACACCACACCGTTTCTCTGTGCGTCTGTAAAAGAATTATTGTTTCTTGTGGTACGTTTAGGGTATGGTGCCTAGTGCCTTGTTAAATACTACACCGTTTCTCTGTGCTTGTGTAAAAGAACTGTGGGTTCTATTGATTCAAACCTTGGACTTTATATCAGGAAAACATGAAATAAAGGTACGTAGTTTTTGTTAAACGTAAAAAGTGTTCAATGCCATGTACAGATAAAGCTGGAGAGTTTAATGTAAAGGTAGATGTTGAAGATTCACTTAGGCTTCAGCAAATAAGACTGTGCTGGATATTCTAAATTTTGTATCGTAATTTAAAAATACACGCCACATTAGAAAAAACTTCACGTAAAAATATTTCTAAATGGTCTTCAAATTTTTCCAATTTTTTGCTGATGGAGTCATTTGTTGAGTCATATTTTCTTTCCATGTCGGATGTTGTTTTCTACAGCACGTTTCTTTGCCTACCTCCCTTCCACCCTCCCCTCGAGATATGATGCTTTTCCAGCATCATATCAGTGTCCTTATGAATTTATTTAGTTAACGACAAATATAGATTGTAATTTACAGCAATTTGATAACGTTGGTAACAAATTTCCAAAGAAAATTATATTTGCGTCTGCAGTGTTTGGAAATATATTAATCTGTGAACTATACTTCATTCACTAGTTCATCCGTGCCAGCAAATGATGTGTGTAGCAACTTTTTGTGAAATAACATTTTTACTATGTTTGCACAGACTAATGTAAACCGAAGAGACCTTTGTGAGCACTCGAAATTAAATCAAAACAAATTCTCAAAAACGTCTTGGGTATGCATAAGCCAGTGCAAACACGAAAAACCTCTCTTGATTCTTTTGTAAAATAACAATGCAAAACAGATAGAATTTAAAAATGTTTTAATTTCATCATGCATGCATTCATGATTGATTTGCAAATTCTCCATTGAATTGATTGAGCTTAAATCGATTTGCATATGCTAATGCCAACTCAACTAAGACCAATCAGCACACGTACGTGTTTTGTTGTTTTTATTTTTTAAGATGCTATTAATGTTATCGCCGTTTTCTTCTAGAGTTTTTGGTCTTCTCTAACGCTCATTTTGAACGAGTTGATACTGGATGAAACTGGGGTGGAAAATATTTTTCACAATGGTACGTGCAATCGTAATTGAGAGCTTAAAGTGCCCATATCAGGGTCAGGGATGCATCTTCTTTATACAGTTAAATTTATTTTAAGAATATTTGCAATATATTTCATTGGTCGAATACGTTATCCAGAAGTGGATGTACTCACCGCCGGAAGTGACGTTCATATGAGAACATGCTCGCTTCGTAAAGTGTAGACAAGCATAATATTATTGAATTTTTAGTGGGGAATAGCGCCTAAATAGTTCTACTTTTTAAACGTTTCTTGTTTTCTGTAAAGCTGTACCATGAAGCTGCTATATCTTCAAAGCGTTTGTTCTTTGTACTTTACCTCTGGCGCCAAGGCACCTACTTCGAGCCCCAAAGGCTTAACAAAATAACATTTCTGTGCTATAAAATATATTGCAAACGTTCTTAAAATTAATTCAACTATCTGAAGAAGTCGTTTTTCTAACCCTGATATCGGCACTTCAATGTTGCATCAATATCTTACATTAAGCAGATCAACGGGATTAGTTTCTATAGAAATAATTTCATCGATCATTGCTAATTAATAATGTGATATCGAGTATAATGGCAGGGGGTCGATGGAACATTGAAAAAGGGAGGCATCGTAGAAAGTTGTTTGTATCAATCATAACGTGCTTGTAAAAAATGGTTCTTAAATAGTTAGTGAATGAACATTACCCATCTTAAAGTAAATGGTTTGAACCCGGGAGTATCCTTATATGTTTGTAAATGTAGATCGTCCTGGTTGGTCGAGTCCTGAGAAGGACTGTTTTTGTTGTTGTTGACTAAACAACAAAACAAAACAAAACAAAAAAACAACAACAACAACAACAAAACAGTCCTTCTCAGGACTATACCAACCTGGACGATCTACATTTACAAACATTACCCATCTTGTCGTGTTCGATATGAATTTCAGTAAGAATATCAGTTACGTAAGAGGCCAACTGTAAATGCATTTTGAAAATGCCGCCATATTTTTGATAGATTTCTACTTAAAATCTGCACTTGAAATTTCTCGTATTCATAATTATATTCTTGGGTGTATTTAGATTTCTCGGATATATCAAATGTCTTTGATCTCTTTTATTCATAGTAAACTTTCTTGTGCACAGGTACCCTTACTACTAAATACACGATTGATTAAAAACCCAAATTTCATTTAGGTTCAAGTAAAATAAGTCGTAAGGAAGCTTTGATATTTTGCTGGTGGTTATTCGTCCATATTGCACCTCTCTATTGGTACGATGTTAATGGAGAATATTTAATAAAAGAAAAGGTACGCGAGATGCCCTTCGAACTTCTATGGAAGTCTTTTCGAAGTCACTGTTAAAGCACTGCCTTAGTCGGCTTTGATAGTTCGAGAATTGGGGGCTATCCGTGTTTCAAAGGATTTCAAAATAAGCTGACCACTGGCGGAATTCCGCTTGCTATTTTTCTTCTTGTAGCTAAAAAACAAAATTACCAAAGAACGAAGACTTTCGTTTCCATTCTGCTCACGTTATGTCTATTTGCATACTCCTAACAATTTTCAGGGGTCAAAATATCTGTCGGCGATAGCCGGCTGTTTCAGGGCGTGGCCGGCTGTTTCAGGACGTGGCCGGCGATTTGTGATGTCAAAGCAAAGAAACATCTAAATATTATTGTGACATCGACTATCTCATACTTTATTAATATTTCAACCCTAATTCGCTTCAAGTTGAAATAGTGCCCGCGTTTTTGTTGCTGCTGCATGCGTATTAGCGACTTTTTTCAAAAGGCCTATAGTACAAAAATAGCTTGCAAAATGTGTTAAGAAAAATCGCCTACGAAATTGGACATATTTTTACAGCGTTATTTTGAACCCTGATTTTGAAACCACTTTAGTAAAATAATGTCATAAACCGCAGCCACTATTATTTCAATAGGACATAAAAACCAGATCATGCATGTTTAAGTATATAAGTACACTCCTCTCAATTTATTGAACCTGCCTGCCCCCACCGTAAAGGCAAGAGCATGACCATTTTGAGTTTGGAGAGCTTCAAAATAGGACGCATTACCTTTAAGGACACCATCAATGCATAGATACAACAAGTTTGTATCTTTCATTTTGTTAAAAATTTTAAAGTCAGTGGTTCTGCGTCTCTTGGATGATGTTTGTGTGTCATCTAGGAGCGTATTGTTTCGTGTAATGCCTTATGTTGTGCTCCACAAAAACGTTTTATTGTTATAACATTATCTGTTTTAATTATAACATAAAATTCATGTTTCTCGGCATCTGTGCAAACTGCAGTACGAAACTCAATCCAATGATTAACTTGGAAAATTTAGAAGTAGAACTTTTCAGAAGATTAATCCGTAACTCGCTGTACGAAACTCAATCCAAGGATTAACGTGGAAAATTTAGAAGTAGAACTTCTCCTAAGATTTATCATTTTGGGTAATCTAGGATATAGATAACTCCGACGCTTAGCATCTTAGAAAATCTATGATATATCAGTGAAAATACGAGGATTATTATGTTAGAGGATTATTAAATCTAAGAATGCTCTAATTTGAAGTATGATTTACTTATGAAACCAGGCGTAAGCCTCTCTTTTATGTAATCTACTTCTCTCGCTTCTTTACACAGGCGAATGTCTCCGGTAATGGTATTTTCCTTCAAGATTTATTACGTCAGTCATTTCTTACTAAGGTAATTGTGATGAGTTGTGATAGCTCGTGTGCTTTGGTAAAATTTGAGCCTTTGTTACCATTGCAGCATTAAGTGCCTGTCTTTAAAGTTACTCGAAATATTAAAGGAACCTTTCTCGATCAATTGTTTTCATTCTCCTAAATAATATTTTTAACCCACCCACCTTCCATCTCTTCCTGTACACACTTTCAACCCACGCTTCCGACCTGGACGATTAACGTTAGCAAACATGTATTTTTAATTTCCTTCCAAAATCTGTCTTTTTACTTTGGCCCAGCAAATCTGTAAAAGTTTGCATGCGCTATGAAACTTTGTCATTAAAATTTACATGGTCTAAACATAAATCTAAAATTATTGATTTAATTACAGTTTGTCTACTTTAGGACTCTCACACAGTCTCAGAAATTTTGTCTACTTTAGGACTCTCACACAGTCTCAGAAATTTTGTCTACTTTAGGACTCTCACACAGTCTCAGAAGATCTTTCTCGATGTTATTTAAGTTGCTGTTTGAAGATTCTGCAACATTGGCATCCTAACAACGATGTCATAATTCTTTTGTGGGACTATTTTCACAAGAAAATGGTGAGCTGCTGTACAATGGGACTATATAGCGCAGTCAGTGACGTAGTCAGCCTGCGAATTTGTGTTTCCGCTCACATCATTGGGATTTTATATTTCTTTAGAAATCTGTTTTTTTCACAACAAGTGAACACCAAATTATTTACACAGCAGGAACAAATTTACATGCTGTCTATGTCACTGAGTACATTTAACATCTACAAATATATATTATGAGCCTGTCGTCTCTCCTAACAATAATTATGCTGTATTTTGCATGTACAACTAATTATGAGCCCGCTGTCCTCTCTCCAAATAGAAAGCGAGATCAATTTTTGGGGCAACTTATATTTTTTCTCTGACATTCCTGTAGAATGATATGTTTTATTTACCAAGTCAAAAGATTCAAACTGGAGCCTGCACAAGGTAACAATTTAAACATTACACGAACAAATGATGCTTGTAGAACTTGTTCGGGGACCCAGCAATGATTCTTGTATGTACACGTCAAGTTGCTCACAGTGGAGTAATCATCCCGCAGGTTTTGGTCGTGCTATGTAAATTTCAGATATTTCTCATTATTTATTTCTATAGAAATATATTGCTTTTAAAGTAAGTGAACACAGAAATATTTACATAGCAAGATCAAACGTACGCCACTGATTTTTCAACCTTTGGGGAGGGGGGGAGGAGAAAACAAGTGTCGGAATAAATGGAGTGTCGAAAGTACTCTTGTGGCAAGAAAACACCATTGAAGTAAAATACATGGAACGCTACCTGTAATACAAAACCCTAATAATTTTTTGAAGCCGTGATTTTACCTCAGACACGCGTGTGTAGTCAATCAATTATTACTCCGCGAGAGAGTCCCGAAATACTACACACGCGTGTCTGGGGTAAAATCTCGCGTGTCTGGGGTAAGATTTGCTTCAGGTAGCGTTCCATGTATTTTAGTTCAATGGAAAACACGGATAATGTTTTTGAATGTTTGCACTGAGTTCAATCCATCAGAAGTGAATTGGGCCCGATAAAATTGAATAGAATCGTGCCAGTATGTAAATTTCAGAAAGTCATTTAATTTCATGGAAATGCACAGTTTTTACAGTTGGGAAACACAAAAATATATGCGTAGCAGCCTTACTCGGGTCTTCACCTACATCCTTCCGAAGCTCTCAAAACAGTCACTTCCTGTTTTTTAATTCCGTCGAAGTGCGCACGCCGAAGGCGGTAAAGCATACGGTTGCCACAAACTCTTTCTTTCACAGAGGTACGCCAGCAAGTCTGTGGTTTGAGCAGATGATAAACAGATGCAACGATCCCTTGATTTGGTAAGAGGACTCTGAGATCTAAGCTGGTCTAGTCTTTAAGTGCCTATGAAATGAAAATTTCTCCATTTAAGTTATGCTTCATTAAAAAAATACTTATAAAATGACAATGGAGTTTCTTGACCAGTTCACGCATGTCACTTTTAATTCTCGAGATATAGAGTTTTTTTTATTTCCGGTTCATCTAACTTGTGACGTCATATCTAACTTGTGACGTCACATTGCATTGTGAGAGCTACAAATATTAGGTATGAAATGCTGCTTAATAGTTTTAACCTAAAGTTTTCTGGTAACTGAAGAATATTTGAAACATTGCCGCGACTCAATATGCAATATATGACGTCACAAGTTATGTAAATTGAATTACAAAAACTTCAATAGCTCACGAATGAAGAGAGACATGCATAAACTGTTTTAGAAAGCTCACTGTCATTTTAAAAGTGGTGCTCAATGGAAACATAATTTAACTAGCAGAATTTTTGTTTCTTGTGCCTCGTCTTATTTATTGATTCTCCGTTTAAGTTGACAAAAATCTCCTTGAATTCTGTTTCAGTGACGACAATGATACGAGTTTTGATTTATTTCTGCGAATTCTTTCGTTGCATTTGAGAAAATTGAAAAACGCTGGAACTGTACAAATATGGAAGCAACTTAAAGGACGGTAAGAAAATCCCCTTATTGCTCACAATGTAAATAGTTAGTTTTATTTTCCAAGAGTCTCAATGTTGAATGAGGAGACTAGCGGGAAAATAAAACTAACTGTTTCCCGAGCGAGCGTACACTTAGTGTTTTGTTACATGGAAACAAAGATCATAGAATTCGACAGTTTTTCAATAAAATGAACGACTTTCGGGGCACATACGTCCAGAGAAATTTCTTTCCAAAATGCTGTAAGGATGACCACGGCATGTTTGTCGACTAATTCACAGTGTTTTCTGAATATTTTTGGATGAATATTTTTGACGAATTGAATTGATATTCACTGTTTCTCTTGTGAGAAACATTGCATTTAAGTCATGTGATTACGAACGGGCCAATCACGTTTAACACACGCAGCACCTATATAACAATGTAATATATACCTTCTCCTTTCTCCCGTAGGTGCTTTCAAGTTCCCTCTGTCAGTATAGTTGTACATTATAGTACATTGTATTTTCCTAGATTCTACACAAAATTCCACAAAAAGAGGATGGAAGAATTATCGGAACAGGGAATGCTCAATTTTAGCAATATCTTCCTCACACTTGCTGTTTGTGTTGCAGACACAGATGATGTTGTAAGTAGAAACTGTCTTTATAACCCGATGAACTTGCATACCTATTCAACTGGAGTGTTAACCGATGATAAACATAAATAGTGTGTTACACAATACGCTACTGTCAGAAAGAAACTCAAACAAATTGCTTCTTATCCATGTAAATTAACAATGTGTACTAAAGTGGGATATATCCCTCCCCCTCCAACTGATGTTATTAAAGTGACAATTGATTTTGCTAAACAAGTGCGTTCTCCCTACGAAAACATTACTCAAAGTAGAGTATAATGTCGGACATTGACGCTGTTTGTCCTTCAATGGAAGTAACTAGTTCTCTTTAGACCTTCATCAAACGCGCACAACTTTGTTTGTCCAACAACATCAGCTATCAAGTATAAAATATTTAGTTATTGCTGGATTTTTGCTACAATCATACATCATACACTCATTACTTCGTGTAAGCGTTCACTATTAATGATTGATTGGCGAAGCCAGCCTGATCTTTCACTCCGACGATGCGAATTTATATTTGTTTTTTATGAAAATCAATTCAATTCGTTGTCTTTCCAGTGACTGAATGAAAAATATTTGCATTGTTAGAGTAAAAGAACGGGCTCACTTCGGTACTGCATTGTGTTCACTGTTAGAGTAAAAAAACGGGCTCACTTCGGTACTGTATTGTGTTCACTGTTAGAGTAAAAAAACAGCTCACTTCGGTACTGCATTGTGTTCACTGTTAGAGTAAAAACGGCTCACTGGTGCTGCACTGTGTTCACTGTTAGAGTAAAAAACGGCTCACTTCGGTGCTGCATTGTGTTCACTGTTAGAGTAAAAAAACGGGCTCACTTCGTTACTGCACTGTGTTCACTGTTAGAGTAAAAAAACGGGCTCACTTCGGTGCTGCACTGTGTTCACTGTTAGAGTAAAAACGGGCTCACTTCGGTACTGCATTGTGTTCACTGTTAGAGTAAAAAAACGGGCTCACTTCGGTGCTGCACTGTGTTCACTGTTAGAGTAAAAACGGCTCACTTCGGTGCTGCACTGTGTTCACTGTTAGAGTAAAACGGGCTCACTTCGTTACTGCACTGTGTTCACTGTTAGAGTAAAAACGGCTCACTTCGGTGCTGCACTGTGTTCAATGTTAGAGTAAAAAAACGGGCTCACTTCGGTGCTGCACTGTGTTCACTGTTAGAGTAAAAAAACGGGCTCACTTCGGTACTGCATTGTGTTCACTGTTAGAGTAAAAACGGGCTCACTTCGGTGCTGCACTGTGTTCATTGTTAGAGTAAAAACGGGCTCACTTCGGTGCTGCACTGTGTTCATTGTTAGAGTAAAAAAACGGGCTCACTTCGGTGCTGCACTGTGTTCATTGTTAGAGTAAAAACGGGCTCACTTCGGTGCTGCACTGTGTTCACTGTTAGAGTAAAAAAACGGGCTCACTTCGGTACTGCATTGTGTTCACTGTTAGAGTAAAAAAACGGGCTCACTTCGGTGCTGCACTGTGTTCATTGTTAGAGTAAAAAAACGGGCTCACTTCGGTGCTGCACTGTGTTCATTGTTAGAGTAAAAACGGCTCACTTCGGTGCTGCACTGTGTTCATTGTTAGAGTAAAAAAACGGGCTCACTTCGGTGCTGCATTGTGTTCACTGTTAGAGTAAAAACGGCTCACTTCGGTACTGCATTGTGTTCACTGTTAGAGGAAAAACGGGCTCACTTCGGTACTGCATTGTGTTCACTGTTAGAGTAAAAAACGGGCTCACTTCGTTGCTGCATTGTGTTCACTGTTAGAGTAAAAAAACGGGCTCACTTCGGTACTGCATTGTGTTCACTGTCAGAGTGAAAAAACGGGCTCACTTCGGTGCTGCATTGTGTTACTGAAAGATTTATTTTGTAGATGGATTTAAATGAAGAATTCTATCGACTACATTTGTGAATATTTTGGCCTTGTTATGCTTTGTCTCTTTAGATTAACAAGATGATGTCATTTGTAAACTTGTTGGATTTTAAAAATCTTCATTACGAGAAGAAATTGTTTATTTGGAAAGGTATAATTGTGATCAGTGGTACCAGCAGGAGGTGCAATTTTCCCCACCCCTTCCCCCCTCTGGTCTTTATTTTTGTTGTGCAATAAAACCCCCGCGTATAATAAGAACCTGTTTAGGCCGAGATTGAAAACTGGTTCTTGTTCAATTAATAATGTCACACTCGCTATGCAGAAATGTCGTGTTAATAATAAATTTACCAAGCTTATTGCGAGTAATGTTTTTAGTGAAACACCTTAATCATGTTTTCCATTTTTCAACTTAATAAGCATATCATGTAAAACAGTATTTGTAAAACCTTCCACTCACTGTCCTTCTAACTGCCATGAGCAGCAAATGCCGAAGTGAATCTCAGAGTCCCGGGCTTGTGACCGGTATAGCCAGCTTAAAAGTTGAAAGATCCACTTATTTTTGTTTGTTTTTTGTCAACCCGAACAAAGTAATATGATACGTTTATGACCTACTATGCTATAAAGAAACAAAAACTTCCCTCAAAACTTTGGTGTTCAACTAAAAACATTACTCGCAATAAGCTTAGTATACTGGTTCTTGCTTTATTTCCATTACTTTAAAGGAGTTGAAAGTAAGATACATAACTCAATGAAAATAGACTCTTCACAATGAAAAAGACACAGAAGTCTGAATCCTAAATAAGTCGTAATTAACAGAATACTCAACGGGGAGAGTAAATGTACAAAAAGCAAGGCCCTCGGGGCGAACAGTTTTAGTCCTGAAGAGGTCGCCCTGTGAAAAAAAAAGTTGCAATAAAGAAGAATCTAATGAAGAGCCTGTTTAGCCTAGCGTCGCAATTTATGTGAGAACCTGTTTGTAAATGTAGATCGTCCAGGTTGGTATAGTCCTGAGAAGGACTGTTGTTGTTGTTGTTGACTGACGTTTCGACAACCTTAGCGGTAGTCATCTTCAAGGTCAAATGAGGAGTAAACGTCAGGTTAGCCGTATTTGTTATCTGGTTTTTACGTCATTGTATACGGTTCTTAGGTCATTGTATACGTCATATCAAATACGGCTAACCTGACGTTTACTCCTCATTTGACTCTGAAGATGACTACCGCTAAGGTTGTCGAAACGTCAGTCAACAACAACAAAAACAGTCCTCAGGACTATACCAACCTGGACGATCTACACTTACAAACATGTAACAATACTCCCGGGTTCAAACCATTTACTTTATGTAAGAACCTGTTCTAGCAAACTTGAAAAAATTTGGATTCTTATACGCGCGGTTTTACTGTATTAAAAATACTGGTAATTGTGATAAGCAATTTTGGTTTCTCCTCTTCCCCAGTGCCCATCCACAAACTAACCATGCTGGTGCCACTTGTTTTTAAGGAAATATGAATTCCTCGTGTTTCTCAAATGTTTTGTTTTGTTCATTCTAAGGTTATTTCGTTGTGATGTTTCTTTTGAAATCGAAAAAAATTAATGGTGCGTTCATTGCTGGGGACGTATCTCGAAAATTCACTGATATTTGCAGGTAATACTTTCGTCAACAAGTTTCATGATCGTATCTATGTTGAAAACACTAGACTGGAGTTTATATCAACCCAAGTTTCAACATCAAATCACTACAGATGTAGACACTAGACTGGAGTATATAAAGACTCAAGTTTCAACATCAGATCACTCCTGATAAAAACACTAGACTGGAGTATATAAAGACTCAAGTTTCAACATCAGATCACTCCTGATAAAAACACTAGACTGGAGTATATAAGACTCGAGTTTCAACATCAGATCCCTCCTGATGAAGACACTAGACTGGAATATATAAGGACTCAAGTTTCAACATCAAATCACTCCCGATGAAAACACTAGACTGGAGTATATAGAGATCAAGTTTCAATATTAGATCACTCCTGATGAAGACACTGAACTGGAGCATGTAGAGTTTCAAGTTAAAACATCGAATTAAGAGAAAAGAAAGACTCGTGCATTAAAGTTAATTTATTACAATTAAAGAATCTAACTATGCTTATTTCAAGGGACTTTAAGGAAAAATACAACGACAAAAACCAAAGAAAACATCTATGGTCGCTAATCTCGACATACATGGATTGTACGCTAGAAATCCTTGCATATAGATCTTCTGAAAGTGTCGGTGAACATGTGCTTATTGGTTTGTAAATTATTACTTAATATTTAAATTTAAATTTTTGTACATTTTTGAGGAAAAATTCTGCTACCTAATTTACGTAATTTACATAATGCTCCACTGCGTGTGCGTGGTTTTCGGATTTATGATGCATGTTCTCCGTCAATCTATAATAAAAGTCAAAAGCACGTGGGGAGTGTAGTTGTTCACTTCAGAAAACTACTAAATAAATAAGAAAACTACTAAATATATGAGGCTATTTGACGAACAGAGGTGATCACTAAAGGCTATTTGACGAACAGAGGTGATCACTAAAGGCTATTTGACGAACAGAGGTGATCACTAAAGGCTATTTGACGAACAGAGGTGATTACTCAAGGCTATGTGAGGAACACAGGTGATTACTTAAGGCTATGTGAGGAACACAGGTGATAACTTAAGTCTATGTTAGGAACAGAGGTGATCACTAAAGGCTATGTGAGGAGCACAGGTGATTACTTAAGGCTATGTGAGGAACACAGGTGATCACTTAAGTCTATGTGAGGAACACAGGTGATCACTTAAGTCTATGTTAGGAACAGAGGTGATCACTAAAGGCTATGTGAGGAACACAGGTGATTACTTAAGGCTCTGCTGGGAACGGAGGTGATGAATAAAGACTACGTGAGGAATAGAGGTGATCACTTAAAGCTATTTGAGAAACAGAGGTGATCACTTAAGGCTATGTGAGAACCAGAGGTGAACACTCAAGGCTATGTGAGGAACACAGATGATCACTTAAGGCTAAATGAGGAACACAGGGATCACTTAAGGCTATGTTAGGAACGGAGATGATCACTTAAAGTTATGTCAAGAACAGAGGTGATTACTGAGGCTATCGAGAAACAGGATGTAGCTTTACAAAGGTACAAGAGATGCAGGGGATTACGACAACAGAAGACTGCAAGTTAATTGTGAACTTTTTCCTGTGTTTTATCTACCGAATGTTTATTATTATGCTGCTGTTTTAGGGTCAACATATGTTTTTTAGTTTTTTCGAACTGACAATTCATTAAACCTTGTTTTTTTATTTCTAGGCGAAGGTTTCAGTATTTTGCTGTCATGTTGTAGTTCTAGTGAACTGATGTGTTTGTTCATTTTTACCCGCGATCTTTTGGATACTATAAGGTTTGATAAAGTTAGATCTTGGAATGTATTTGTGAACATAATTCAATCTCCCCGTTCTGGAGTAAGATTTGTGGCCAAAATTGCTTAATGTTTTGTTCATTGTACGATAAATGAAGAACAGTATTTGAATCAGTTCCTTGTCCACGTTACTTATCGTTTCTGTCATTATTTTACAGTGTGGAAGTCAATGATAGCTGGTCATATAAAGGTATGGATTCGTGGACTATTCGTGGATTACTCTTACATTATTAATTATTTAAGAAGTAAAAGATGTTTACTGTGTTTGCACAGGCTTATGCTAACGAGGGGATCTTTGGTAGAACTCGAGAGTAGATCTGTGCAAACCAGAGAGACCGAAGGTTGAGGGTTTGCATAAGCCAATGCAAACACGAAAAACCTCTCTTAGTTCTATCTTAAATAACAATAATGTGAAACAGTTTTATTTAAAACAAATGTTTTTATTTTTCATCTAACATGTATTCATTATTGATTTGTAAATTCACAGATCGGTTTGCACAGGCTAATGCAAACTCAGCTGTGGACCAATCAGCGCACGCACTGTGTTGCGTTTATTTTTTTCTGATTGGTCTATAGCTGAGTCTTCACAGGCTAATGCAAACTCAGCAGTGGACCAATCAGCGTACGCACTGTGTTGCGTTTATTTTTTTCTGTTTGGTCTATAGCTGAGTCTTCACAGGCTAATGCAAACTCAGTAGTGGACCAATCAGCGCACGCACTGTGTTGCGTTTATTTTTTTCTGATTGGTCTATAGCTGAGTCTTCACAGGCTAAGGCAAACTCAGCTGTAGACCAATCAGCGCACGCACTGTGTTGCGTTTATTTTTTTCTGATTGGTCTATAGTTGAGTCTTCACAGGCCAATGCAAACTCAGCTGTAGACCAATCAGCGCACGCGCTGTGTTGTGTTTGTTTTTTTCTGATTGGTCTATAGCCGAGTTTGCATTAGTTCAAAAAAATTCAAGGAAAATGGGTTTTTACTCTACATGAATTGTTTCCGTGAATACGACTACAACATGAATTTATTTTTTATGTTTTTAGAAGTATGTGAACTATCTTTTGAATACATATTTCCATTCATTCGTAAACGTTTAAAGGACCTCAATCTTGAACCTCAACATCTGAACGAATTGCCGAACATTTTTCTAAAGTTCATCTCGCTTTCATGGAAAATGTAAGCTTTTAGATATTATGAACTTTCCTGTACTTTGGTAATTTCACTTTTGCATCTTGCCATGGAAGCTTGGTGGGTTTGGTCGATGGTGAATACAACTGCATGACCATTGGTTGTCATACTGTCAGTTATGGTGATTGCATGATCATTGGTTGTCATACTGTCAGTCATGGTGATTGCATGATCATTGGTTGTCATACTGTCAGTCATGGTGATTGCATGATCATTGGTTGTCATACTGTCAGTCATGGTGATTGCATGATCATTGGTTGTCATACTGTCAGTCATGGTGATTGCATGATCATTGGTTGTCATACTGTCAGTTATAGTCATTGCATGATCATTGGTTGTCATACTGTCAGTCATGGTGATTGCATGATCATTGGTTGTCATACTGTCAGTCATGGTGATTGCATGATCATTGGTTGTCATACTGTCAGTCATGGTGATTCCATGATCATTGGTTGTCATACTGTCAGTCAAAGTCATTGCATGATCATTGGTTGTCATACTGTCAATTATGGTCATTGCATGATCATTGGTTGTCATACTGTCAGTTATGGTGATTGCATGATCATTGGTTGTCGTACTGTCAGTTATGGTCATTGCATGATCATTGGTTGTCATACTGTCAGTCATGGTGAATGCATGATCATTGGTTGTTATACTGTCAGTTATGGTCATTGCATGATCATTGGTTGTCATACTGTCAGTCATGATGATTGCATGATCATTGGTTGTTATACTGTCAGTTATAGTCATTGCATGATCATTGGTTGTCATACTGTCAGTCATGGTGATTGCATGATCATTGGCTGTCATACTGTCAGTCATGGTGATTGCATGATCATTGGTTGTCATACTGTCAGTCATGGTGATTGCATGATCATTGGTTGTCATACTGTCAGTCATGGTGATTGCATGATCATTGGTTGTCATACTGTCAGTCATGGTGATTGCATGATCATTGGTTGTCATACTGTCAGTCATGATGATTGCATGATCATTGGTTGTCATACTGTCAGTCATGGTGATTGCATGATCATTGGTTGTCATACTGTCAGTCATGGTGATTGCATGATCATTGGTTGTCATACAGTCAGTCAAAGTCATTGCATGATCATTGGTTGTCATACTGTCAATTATGGTCATTGCATGATCATTGGTTGTCATACTGTCAGTTATGGTGATTGCATGATCATTGGTTGTCGTACTGTCAGTTATGGTCATTGCATGATTATTGGTTGTCATACTGTCAGTCATGGTGAATGCATGATCATTGGTTGTTATACTGTCAGTTATAGTCATTGCATGATCATTGGTTGTCATACTGTCAGTCATGATGATTGCATGATCATTGGTTGTTATACTGTCAGTTATAGTCATTGCATGATCATTGGTTGTCATACTGTCAGTCATGGTGATTGCATGATCATTGGCTGTCATACTGTCAGTCATGGTGATTGCATGATCATTGGTTGTCATACTGTCAGTCATGGTGATTGCATGATCATTGGTTGTCATACTGTCAGTCAAGGTGATTGCATGATCATTGGGTGTCATACTGTCAGTCATGGTCATTGCATGATCATTGGTTGTCATACTGTCAATTATGGTGATTGCATGATCATTGGTTGTCATACTGTCAGTCATGGTCATTGCATGATCAAGTCATGGTCATTGCATGATCATTGGTTGTCATACTGTCAGTCATGGTGATTGCATGATCATTGGTTGTCATACTGTCAGTCATGGTGATTGCATGATCATTGGTTGTCATACTGTCAGTCATGGTGATTGCATGATCATTGGTTGTCATACTGTCAGTCATGGTGATTGCATGATCATTGGTTGTCATACTGTCAGTCAAGGTCATTGCATGACCATTGGTTGTCATACTGTCAGTTATGCTCATTGCATGATCATTGGTTGTCATACTGTCAGTCATGGTCATTGCATGATCGTTGTCATACTGTCAGTCAAGGTGATTGCATGATCATTAGTTGTCATACTGTCAGTTATGGTCATTGCATGATCATTTAAATAAGGCAATTCAAAAGCGGAAGCAGCCAAGTATACATTAAGTTCATTGAAACATTGTTTTTATTTTAAAAGGTCAACAGCGTCGCCTTCAAATACTATGAAGAATTTGACTAGAATTCACAATTCTGTACGAGATTTTGGTCTTAACGATTCCATTCCTTCAAGGTAAAACAACAATTTATGAACGTCTTAGGGAACGTACACCACTTGCTGAATTACTCACAGTTTATAATTACAAATTTGAAAAAGTTGCAAAAGCAGGCACTTATATAACCGGAGGTGTGTGTAACGTCTTTGATTTTACCAACGAACACGTGAACGCAGTTCGTGCTCTTCATACAACTTGTATTCATTGTAGTTTTTGGTTGATTTTGATTTTACTTTTTCTGATTTTGCGATTTGACATTATTTAGCAAACTTATCCAGATCAAGGTTGTCAAATTAATGTTTAATGTTAGAAAAATGAAATCATCTTTGAATATAGAAAATTGTTCATACGCACACATCCCTCGAAATTGCTTGGAAACACTCTTACTTCGTGCTCGTGCTTGCCACCCAATTTCTCGTTCCTCCCAAACTTTCCCACGTGTTTAGCTATATGACTTTTTGGAAACACGGAAAATGTTTCCTCTTTCTTAACTATTGCATTCATTTAGTTTCAGTTGTCAATTCATGGCAAGTCTCATGACGTCACCAGAAGAACTGGAGTTAGTGCTTCAGAGCGATTATCAATTGGAGGTTATTCACACGTGGTTCCGATGCTCACTCCAGATTCCTTCACAAGATCAACATCTTTTAACATTAACGAGGCGAGTTTCGATGAGTTTTGCTTTGAAAAAATAGTATGTTTGGTTTATGTCGTCTTGTGCTGCTAGTCACGTGTTTCATTGTTGCATAACATGTGTTATTGCAACATTCACGTGTTTTATTCGCATTCAATCGCGTGTTACATTGCAATAGTGATTGGTTGTATAACTATGGCAGTGTATTATATTACAATGGTCATTTGTTATTTAAGAAATAAAAGATGTTTACTGTTTGCACAGGCTTATGCAAACCGAGGAGACCTTTGGGAGAACTCGAGAGCAGATAAGTACAAGCCCGAGACCGAAGGTCGAGGGTTGCACCTGCTCGAGAGTTCTTACAAACGTCTCCGAAGTTTGCATAAATTAGTGCAAATACGAAAAACATCTTTTATTTCTTTTATAAAATAACAATAATGCGAAAAAACCAAACATTTTAATTTTTCCTGTAAAATGTATTCATGATCGATTTGCAAATTCTCTTTGAATGATTGATTTTTTAGACTGATTTGATTGGTTGAGCTCAGATGTGCTTTGCACTGGCTAATGCAAACAAAGCTCTAGACCAATCAGCGCACGCGTTTCATTGTGTTTATTTTATAAATTGCAATGATTACGTGTTGTATTGAAATAATCACTTTTGGTACTGCACTGACCATTATGTATTTCGTGGCGTATAGAGTGTTTGCTTGTGACGCGGGGCTCCAAATTTTTGGCATCCACATAGGACAGTAAAAATATCGAAGTATAAGCAAGATTAGTACATTGAGTCTTGGTAAAATGCTTGTTAAAATAATAATTTTTCCTTGTTAATCGCCATGAAATCGCCAACTCAATGAAATTTGATTAGACTTTTCCAAGTGCAGTTTTTCTTCATCACACGAGATAGCAACATGCTTTTATAAGGTGTTGTCTAGTTAAAAAACGTATTTGTAGGAAATCACGTGCATCTGATGCGAAGGAGTCCGAGCAGTATATCGTCTTAGTAATGTTTGATATACTGACTCTGACTCTTTGTATTACGTTGGTCACGTGTTTATGAAAATATTCACGTTCATTGTGTTTCAGGATTGTATTTCTAAAGTTGCCGGAGGCCAGTAGTTTTATTAAAATCCAGGTACATGTGCGTTGTACGTAATATCAGTGATGCATTAGGATATCAAATGATAACATTTGATCCTGTGCTTGATCAAATTTTCAGAAATCTATCGTCGCTGGAAACGTCGAAACAGCCATACTTTCTCTCGTCAAAGGTCTAGGAATAACATTTTCATCTCTGGTAATGCTAAAAATTATCTGAAGTGATAGTATAGTTGAAAGAGAAAAATGAACTGAGCATTGCGAGTTATGTGTTCGAACATGATGCGAATTTTACTTAAGTTTGAGACTGCCAGGTTATTAACCTACCATATCGTCACATTGATAGTTAAAGTTTAAAGCTGCATTGTGGAATTTATTAACCTACCATATCGTCATATTGCTAGTTTAAGTTTGAAGCTGCATGGTGAAGGTTATTAACCTACCATATCGTCATATTGCTAGTTTAAGTTTAAAGCTGCATGGTGAAGGTTATTAACCTACCATATCGTCATATTGCTAGTTTAAGTTTAAAGCTGCATGGTGAAGGTTATTAACCTACCATATCGTCATATTGCTAGTTTAAGTTTGAAGCTGCATGGTGAAGGTTATTAACCTACCATATCGTCATATTGCTAGTTAAGTTTAAAGCTGCATGGTAATCATGTGAAACTGTAGTAAGATCATATTAAACATACAAACAATAAATATCTTTAGGATTTGTTGTCAGAAACCGTAAAGTTTCGTGAAAAGGCTTTGCTAGTCATTGGAGATTTTCTGAAGTACATTGAACGATTTTTGAAACAGGATGGTCCTCCAGATAGGCTCAGGTAATCCAAATACTCGTCTCATATTATTTTACTGAGAATGATGTGGATACTCATGGATTGCGGTGGATAAATATGGATTTATTCTTGATGTGCAAGCTACGTCATAGCTGCCATGTTGGATGATTTAACAAAGGATTTTCCTTGTTTACAACGCAATTGTCATCCAACATGGCGAACATTCAATTGTTCTGTTACTCCCAGGGGAATGGTTACACACCACCTATTGAAACAATTAGCAACTTCATCATGAGTACATGTTTGTAGTTGTAGATCGTCCAGGTCGGTATAGTCCTGAGAAGGACTGCTTTTGTTGTTGTTGACTGACGTTTCAACAACCTTAGCGGTAGTCATCTTTTGACTCTGAAGATGACTACCGCTAAGCTTGTCGAAACGTCAGTCAACAACAACAAAAACAGTACTTCTCAGGACTATACCGACCTAGACGATCTACATTTACAAACATGTAACGATACTCCCGGGTTCAAACCATTTACTTCATCATGATTATTGAGGATTACAACAATAAAATAATATACACCTAATGTATGCTCCCGGGAAAAATAGCGAGTTTTGTTTTCGAAGAGTCTGAATATTTACCGAGACAAAGTTGATGGAGACATTGTATGTGACACGAGGAAAACAAAACTCGCTATTCCCTGAGGGAGCGTACATCAAGTGTTTTGTTGCAGGAACAAGGATCATAGATTTCGAAAGCTATTCAATAAAATCAACGTCTTTCGGGGAGATTCGCATATGCCGTTGCAAAATGCTGTAAGGGTGACCATACCATTTTTGGTCAACTTCCGAGTGTTTTCTGAATTCATTTTTTTATTAATCGTTAAAATTCGTCGCTTGATAAACTCGAGAAATGTTTTATGTACTTTTTGACTCACTAACTGTTTTATTTGTTATGATATTAAAATGAGCGGGCAAGAATTTATTACTTGCTTCCCTTGCAGGAAACATTGCACTTATTTTAAGCCACGTCAGTGGCGGATCCAGTGTACGTCAAAATAAATTATAGCTCCTCAATTTTAAATTCAAATTCCTTTTAGAAAAACACTATTGGTTTTTAATTTCTAGAGAATATAATTTTACCAATGGATTACTTTCTAAGGTGCTTAGATATGTAAATATACGCCAAAATGTGCTGCAGTAATTTATTTTGACGTAGTCTGGATCCGCCACTGAGCCATGTGACCATGAATGAACCAATCACATTTAACAAACACAGCACCTATATAACAACAAAATTTGTTTCACCATGCAAAAAGCTCACCACAATTGGAAGATGTTTCGGGAAGAGTGCTCTATTAAACACTGAACACAATTGTGTTTACTAAATTGCTAATATTTCTATATCTTCTTGCATCCTTTCTATCCAATGCTTGGAAGGGGTCGATTCCCTCCATTTTCCGGCAAATTCATCCCTGTATATGTCTAGCCATGAACGGCCTCGTTGTGTAAGCGTACTCGATGTTTCTTCTTAGATTGTCGTATAAAGTTGCTGCTTGTCTTGTGAGACATTGTGCAAAAATAATTTACAAAAAGGTTTGTTATACAGTTGGCGTTAAACTCTTTTGCTGAATGGCGGAATTATGCTGCAGATTTCAACGTAAATGCGTTCTATTCAATTTATTTCCTATTTGCAAGCGGCCATTGGCTTGGCAAACTCGATAATTTGATGGTGGGACTGGGGAGGGGTTTTACTCATATATTCATGTTCTGCCGTATTGAGTTCCTTTGAAATCTATGGTTTTCTACGAACTAAAACCAATGATTTAGAAGCCAGGCTTCTAGATGTCTGACTTCCGTGACAAGGTGAGGCAAGGACGCCATCTTGAAAGGTGGCAAAACGTAAAACTCAAAATGAAAAATAAGTTAAAACAAAGTTTAAAAAACCCGTCCTATCAAACATTTTAAGAATCAAACCTAGACTATCAACTTTGCATTTATAGCAACTCAGCCAAAGCAGATGTTAGTCGTAAATATTGTCAGTTTTGCCACCTTTCAAGATGGCGGCTTGCCTCACTCATTACTATACAATATTGGCGGAGTCAGTTATCTAGTAGATTGGGTTCTAGGTCATTGACTAGAACATGCATATATGAATTTGTCCCCCTCCTGCTGAAAAACGCACTTTACTCTCGAAGTGAGATCTCCAGTCTTCACTAAATGAGATGTCTATGAACAGGCATAAGCGTAGCCAGCCCGTACGTTTGCTCCTTCAATGGAAACTTTAATGTGTTCACTTATTTCTAACATAATAAATTTCTGTAGAAAGGATTCATGTTAATGATTTGAAAATTATCAAGCACGACCAAAGTTGCAGGCTGGCAAAGTCACTGTTCATCAGACAAATGTTCATTCGTTCCCAGTCTCTGTCGTATTTCCCGTTTTTGCTTGTATTTGCATTATATACTTCTAGACTCAACACGATTGCCTTTTACCGAAAATAGTCGATCAGTTGATCTTACTGTTGCATTCCAAGAAGCCAGTCCCTCCTGCTACAACTCAATGCATTAAACTAAACCTTGCAGAGGTAATTATACGAAAGCTTATATGAAGTTTAATTGACAGATGTCATTGTTTATAAGTCTCGCGGTTGATAACGGTTAGGTTACTGCTGTGCTGTTTTCAACGTAATTTTACAGTGTTGTGCTGGACATTATCTTTATGATTACCGACAGCATTCAACAATATGATTTACAATTTTGAACAACAAGGGCGGCACAACGTTGTCTAATTCTGTTATACTGCCGGGCTCAAAGCTTTTGTTCGTGTACAAAAAAATCTTTTGTTAAGACGGATTTCTCCACCAGACGAACTTGTGAGAATTATGTGTTGATTTTACGATGACGCATGCGCAGTAGAAAGTAAAAGCACAATAAGATAATTGATATTCTAATTCAATTCAATTAATATTATAATTCAAAAATAATTAATATTTTGTCCTATACTGTTCATGTGTATACATTATAAACCTTATGTTAACTCATTTGTTTGTTTTTATTATTTGTTCAAATGCCATCACTTTTTAAAATGACAATTGATATGTTTCTTTATGCAAAGAGTATTTGATTTTTGCTTTCTTGGATGAATTTGAATTTATGCGTTTTTAACTTGTGGAGGACTTTTAGTTCATTGAAGGTTTGACGACGTTGGATTTCAGAAGAGATGAGTACATCAAACGAAAAATCAAACAAATATTCGCTTCTTATTTTCACATATTTAACCAGGTTGGTATAAGTTAGACTCCGAGTGTTTTCCCGCCAAAAAACTCTGGCTTCGGTTGAAAGAAGCTCGGATGGCAACCTATTTCCAAAGTGAATATTTGTAGGTTCTACTAAAATTCTTCATTTCATTTTCGAAGAGATTGTTTTCGATTTTGTGTAGGTCACGTGACAGAGGGTTTTAATTTCGGAATGCGAAACAACAACAAAGCTTTGTTTTAGAAATTTCTAAAGAACATTTGAAGAGAAAAATATTACCAACTAGATTATTTTGAAGTATTTTAAATTGGTAATATACTGCACCATGCAAGATACGCGATTCTGATTCGAAAGGGGATCAAAGCAAAACAAGAAATCAAACAAATTAGTAGTCAAACTTAAAATCCAGCATTTTCTAGATTTTCCTGTTTTCATGTATATTCTGATGGATGACTTTCTTAACATGATGATCAAGTTCTTGCTTTTTCAAATAAACGTATTTCATTTTTCGTTTAGAAATGTTATCTTGGGACAAATTCAACTCCTTTAAACCATCCTTTTCTTGTAAGTTATACTGTTTCACAAATTGTTTTATAAATCAAAAGACTATCCTTTAATAGCCTCGTACATCAAAAATCTTGTTAGAAATGTTAACATTGCCGTTATTGCACTCTCAGGTCCTGTTTATACAGTAGCAGAGCCAGGGTTAGGCAAAATATTTTATAACCGCTAATTTGAAATTTAAAATGCATTTGTATAAAAGTAATTGGTTATGAATTTCTAAAGAATAAATATCAACCAATCAATAAATTAAAGTAATTTATTTTGCCTATTGCTGAAACCGCCCCTGTGTTCATGTTGCCCGGCAACACCAAGTTCTCGTCTGGTCTATAAATGGTATGATTAACTTGCCTGACAGTTTACATGAAAGTAAACTCGCAGTAGAACATCTGAGCAACTCGCCTTTCGAGTTCTCGTCTGCTCTATAAATGCTATGATTAACTTGCCTGACTGTTTACATGAAAGTAGACTCGCAGTAAAACATCTGAGTAACTCGCCTTTCGAGTTCTCGTCTGCTCTATAAATGCTATGATTAACTTGCCTAACTGTTTACATGAAAGTAAACTCACAGTAGAACATCTGAGTAACTCGCCTTTCGAGTTCTCGTCTGCTCTATAAATGCTATGATTAACTTGCCTGACTGTTTACATGAAAGTAGACTCGCAGTAAAACATCTGAGTAACTCGCCTTTCGAGTTCTCGTCTGCTCTATAAATGCTATGATTAACTTGCCTGACTGTTTACATGAAAGTAAACTCGCAGTAGAACATCTGAGTAACTCGCCTTTCGAGTTCTCGTCTGCTCTATAAATGGTATGATTAATTTGCCTGACTGTTTACATGAAAGTAAACTCGCAGTAGAACATCTGAGTAACTCGCCTTTCGAATTCTCGTCTGCTCTATAAATGGTATGATTAACTTGCCTGACTGTTTACATGAAAGTAAACTCGCAGTAGAACATCTGAGTAACTCGCCTTTCGAGTTCTCGTCTGCTCTATAAATGCTATGATTAACTTTCCTGACTGTTTACATGAAAGTAAACTCGCAGTAGAACATCTGAGTAACTCGCCTTTCGAGTTCTCGTCTGCTCTATAAATGCTATGATTAACTTGCCTGACTGTTTACATGAAAGTAAACTCGCAAAACATCTGAGTAACTCGCCTTTCGAGTTCTCGTCGCTCCATAAATGCTATGATTAACCTTCCTGACTGTTTACATGAAAGTAAACTCGCAGTAGAACATCTGAGTACCGCCTTTCAGTTCTCGCTCTATAAATGCTATGATTAACTGCCTGACTGCTTTACATGAAAGTAAACTCGCAGTAGAACACCACCACTGCTCACAGCACTCACCACATCACTGCATTCACCCCACTCACCATTCACCCCCTCACCACATTCCACTCACCACATTCACTGCATTCACCCCACTCACCACATTCACTGCATTCACCCCACTCACCATATTCACCCCACTCACCATATTCACCCCACTCACTGCATTCACCCCACTCACCACATTCACTGCATTCACCCCACTACCACATTCACTGCATTCACCCCACTCACCTCACTACTGCAATCACCACACCCACCACCACTGCTCACCCCACTCACTGCAATCACCACACTCACCCCACTCACTGCACTCACTGCAATCACCACACTCACCCCACTCACTGCATTCACTGCATTCACCCCACTCACCGCAATCACCGCATTCACTTTATTCAACGCATTACTAAAGTACCAAAATTTCAAAAATTACCAAAATAATTACTAAAGTTTTTTAATCACCAAAATATACCGAAAAATAGCCAAAATTACTGAAAGTAATTTAAATTACCAAGTCTGGTCACAATGTTCTATTATTATGCAGATAGAACTTTAAACTTTGACAGAAATACTTTATGTAATAGCAATATATCGGACTGTGAGACGAGTTTCTACATGCCATATGAACACAGTGTTGTTTATCCTGGCCAGCCGAGTAACTCGGCTTTCCGTGTGACTTGGCTTCATATAAACAGGCCCCGGCTAACATTTTGAAAGTCAGCAAATACTCGATGTTTTAAATAGCTACTTAGAAGTTTCCGTACTACGCATTTTTCCCGCCAAATAACTTTACTCTCATATGGACAGCGGTTGTTTCTTGTTTCAGGATGTTTTGAAGAGCTCGATGTCTACTGATCCTTCACAAAATTCCAGGTTAGATTTTAACATTCGGCAACTTTTCGTAGTACATCATTTTTAATTTTCAATTTATCGTTAATTTTTCAACAGTATTTTGATTGTTACTAATTTGTCGTCAATAGCAGGATAGTCATACCCTTTGTGCTTATTATAAATCCAAAATCACCGTTCTTTCTGTCCTTTTGATGTAATTTTTACATTGAAAATGTGTTAAAGGAATAAAAATGAAAAAAGTGTAACTTTCAAATACGAAATTGTATTAAAGTGGGACCGAGAAAATGTAGGCCGTATTTACAGCTTCATTTTTCACAAAATATTTTGTACGCGGTTCTGTTATCCAGTTTTTAGTACATAGCAGTGGGTTACAAACTTCAGTACAAAGTTGATTGGTCAACAGCATGTTAATTTAAATAATTTTCAGATGTTGATTTATCGACAAATTTTATGATATTTAACAGGGCTGGTATTAAATCTCTGTCAGCGATCATTGACCGACCATATCCATTGCTTTGACCGACCATATCCATTGCTTTGACCGACCATATCCATTGCTTTGACAGGCCATATCCATTGCTTTCACCGGCCATATCCATTGCTTTGACCGACCATATCTATTGCTTTGACCGACCATATCCATTGCTTTGACCGGCCATATCCATTGCTTTAACCGACCATATCCATTGCTTTGACCGGCCATATCCATTGCTTTCACCGGCCATATCCATTGCTTTCACCGACCAAATCTTGTTAATTACGGTTGAGCTTGATCTATGCATGTAAGTTTAAGTACAAATATCTATTCTTTAAGAACTTATATCTGCGCGTAAAATCTTCTTGCTTAAATTATCAGAAAACCGATTGATCGCCGTACTCGTGCAAACAATTCGTAACATAAAGTGTCTGCAGAAGATAACGTGCTGTTATTTTAACGGTTATTTAAATTGTTTGAACCATTTTATGTAGCCTCAAAATTGCAAATTTAGTTATTTCTTGCAACAAAACAATGCAGAAATCTCACAATCAGCTCATAAACCAGTCATTTGACGTCATATAAGACAACTATATTCATAGATTTTAGTTTGACAAGCCAAAAGTAATACATAACCGACTAATTTTTCCCTTGGCCGGCCATTTGTATATCTAAATACTAAAATTATCTGCAGCCCCGTGCTATTTCAATATTACGTCGTTCTGTTACTAATTATGCCACCAGAGGACAAATTTTTTCACTAAAATCTACCTTCTTACCGTTGAATAATCATATTTGTTTGCTTTGGGGGTTTTAAAGAATGGCTAAGGCCTTTGTTGTTATTATTAAGAATAGTAATATTAAGATAATGTACTTATTATTAATTATAATAAAGGTAATTGGATAAAAGTTGAGCCTGCACTTAGTCTGCGGCATGTTTATTTAGGTATTGAGAGCAACTAGTTGAAAGACTTTTTGAAAACCATTATATGTATACCACTGTGTCCTGATATGTAAACGTCTTTCTTAACCTGTTTTAGTGACTTCCGATTGTTTGTTATGAACATCATCAAAGAAAATTATCTTCTCATACCGGGACGCACGCCTCAAGAATTAACTCCAGTAAGGGCATGCAGGGTTTTTTTTTGCTTTTACGCATTTTGCCTGTTCACACTGGTGCTATTGATATGTATTAAGAGCCATAGGTGAAAGTGAATGTGATTGGTTGTTCTTGCTCACTTTAAAACCAAATAAACCAATTAAACCTCCTACCTTTCACCAACTTCACTTTCCCCACTTCTACCTTCACTGCTCTACCTTCTTCTCACCTTTTCCCCACTCTACCTTTCCCCAATCCTACTTCACTACTCCTACCTTTTACTACTCCTACCTTTCCCCACTCCTATCTTTCCCCACTTCTACCTTTCACTTTCTCCACGTTTTTTTTCTACTTTCCCCACTACTACCTTTCATAATTTCTGCCTTTTATTTCTACTCTTTTACTATTTCTCTTGCTCGTATACTGTACCCATTTAATGACCTACACGTTTTTCTACAGACTTTATTCTTTCTTGTTGATGTGTTCGAACGCACGATCTTACCAAAAGAAACCGCAAGGTAAAGTATCACTCAAACGGCAACAAAAGAAATCTCTTCTAAGTTCATAAGATGTGAGCTTGTTTGCGATAAGAATGTAAATTATTAATAATATAAACTAGCAATATAAATTATTAATATAATTTGGGTTATTGGATGCAGTATTTTATGTATTTTTTATTTCTTTGCCGTAGCAAAGTTCATAGAACCTGACACTTGTTCGATAAACATATTAAATCTCAATTTTTGTTTGTCACACAATTGACGTAGCACATTTCCTTGGTATCTCTATGAAGGACAGTAAAAAACCATAGCAGTGTATGTTTCGAGATAAAGTCGCCCTAATATACAATAAATATCCTATGCTTATAAATGCTTTAACTATTGTCTTCGCTTGGAGCTATGAATAACAACAGAATTACAATGTAAATATCGCACACGAGACACTAGAATCGCTCAGATGTTTTTTACTTTCACTCTACGTAAAATTTCGTCTTACGTAAAATTACGTAAAAAAATATTTAAAGCAGATTTTTTTTACCTTTATTTTGTTGTCACACTTTAAACATTTTTTGCGCTCAAAGATTATTTATCAATGTCATTTTATGTAACCCCCCTGTATTTCTCAATTTTTTTTGTTGCATGCTCAGTCATGTTAATACTTTTGGACTAAATCCCACCATGATCTTAGATTGCTTCTTGCAACCGAAACCTATATCAAGACTAAAACTCACTTTTCTTCGGTGATTTGTGATTTAGGAACACACCAATTATTCTCAAAAACATTCTTGCCTGTATTTTGGCGTGTGACATGAGCAGTCCTGGTAACGAGCCACCTCATATTAGATGCAAAGGTAGGGCAAGATACTATAATGGCTTCTCAGGAAATAGTTGGGTCTTTAGGAAGCCCTTTGATAGAAGTTTATTTCTGAAACGTGATCATGGCTCGCATTTATATGATATACATCCATACATTTTCAGCCACAAAGATTTTACAACTGATGTTGTCAAGTTGTGAAAGATCACCTGAAATAACGTCAAGGTACTGTTACTTTACGCCAAAACGTCCAAGGTGTTTTAATGTCAGAAGACAAACTTGCGGTCTTAATTTTACGATGTAACATCCAGAATCCGTTTCCCATGTTAGAAGAGATAAAATTTGTATCCGGTAAGCTAAATGTTGCTCTTCACGATATGGGATCTGTAATCTTTGAGCCAAAGCTGGCGTAAGGTCGATAATTGGGGGGCTAATATTCATACAGTGGCGTAAGTTTGAACCAGGCTGCCCGTTGTCCTTCAAGAATACGGTGGCCCCCTCCTGAATAAACATTTTCTTAAAAATGGTTAATAGAACACAATATTAGCTTATTGGTCGGAAAATGAAATTCACTAGCTGCCAATATGATACTCCCATGTGTAATAAAATATGCGCTACACAAATAATTTCAATAGACTGGGATTGTTTCTATGCAGGGACTCATGTGTTGACTCGTTTGAGATAATGGGATTTTATACACATACAATAAAATTTTCCGAATTTATGGGGGGAAACCGATTAAATAAAGTGTCTGTGTTTTTTGCAAGAATTCGTTATTTTTTAGAGATGAATTGCTTTTGCTATTGAAAGAGTTCATTTCGTCCAACATTAATCAAGTTCAGGTTAGCAAATTGCATTCATAAATCTTGATTTCTCTCCTGATTTCTTTTTAATCGTAAAATATTTGAACGTTGTTTTATGTAAACCCTGCCAGATGATATAATTGGTGTAAAATTTAAAATTTGATCTGGTGTTTATGTGTTTTGCGACCCAAAGCACTCGGGGTACATTTATAAATGAATTTTCCCGCGCATGCTCATCAATGTGTTGCTGTACGATACGAGATGGAAAACAACGTGTTATAAGTATTATTATTATTATATGGTTATTATTAAAACGTACGTCTATATGCTATTACTTAATATAAGTATAGATCCACCCGACGTACGCTTAGATGCTTACTATAAGTATTTTTGGTGTACAAGCTACGTCATATCCGCCATGTTAGATGATTTGAATAAAGGATTTTCCTTATTTACAATGCAAATGTCATCCAACATGGAGAACATTCCATTTTTCTCTCGGTTAGCACTATTTTCCACCCAGCAAACCGCCCTTTACTTTGAAATATAATATTTTACACAATATAATATTTTACGCAATCTAATATTTTACACAATATAATATTTTATATAATATTTTACACAATCGTCGAAAACGACATTTTCCAGCCTGGATTATAAGTTTTAACTTAAGGTGGTTGCATGAAAATTTATACTGCAACATTTATCTCTAAATATTTTCATATGTTGATATTAAAAACTGTATTATAAAAATATAAAATTACTCGCCATCTCAAAACGACCTAGCACCAGTGCATGCATGGTTTCCTTTTAGCTTTTGGTTCTTTCCCATTAGCCGCCATCTTTAATTTATTTCCGATTGTGTAAAGTAAAGGGCGGTTTGCTGGGTGGAAAATAGTGCTAACCTTTTCTCTCACTCCCAGGATTGCACACCACCCTATACTGGTACGCCTGGCGTTAATTTAGAATCAAGTTACCAGTAGTAGGTAGTATCACAGTATAGAAACATACAGTATAGTCTCACTCCACTGTGAAACTTGGTGCTGTATATTTAATTAGAGCACTGGCTGCGTCTCGGCCTCCTATTGGCCAGAAAAAGCAATTGACTGGCTTCTACTATGCTAATGACATGCGTAATAAGATATGCGCTCCACAAAAAATTCTATAGAGTGGGACTACTGTTTATGTCTATACTGTGGGTAGTAGCACTATTTTGAAGGGTTTTTTTACGAGTATATGTCGTCGAGGCAGCATCTCGCTCAGCCGCTCACACGATGGTTCTGTTGTTATGGAACATCTTCACTTATGCATTAAATGATTTTGCTGCATCCTTTATGGTGTTTATGCCATTGAACTGTTTAGGAAAAAATATTTCAAGTGCTGGCATCCATATCAAAGTTTGACAAAGAATTGGCGGTTTCAACCATACCAATATGCAAAGAAGCAATTCTTTCTTCTGAACGCCAACGAGGCGTTGGTGCGGACAACAGATTGAGGTATTTTGTTGCTTTTTATTTTTAAAGTGTGTAAATGCCGCAGAAAAACCATATGAAAACACCAGTAATAGTAATTTTAGAAGCTCTTCTAGCCCAGTTCTAGTTTCTTTTACATTTGATATCATGAATAATAACATCACGTTGTTGTGATGTACTCAGGTAGAGCAACAAGATGGTTATTGTCTTCAATGTTCTACTAACTGAACTACAAGATCAACTGTGGACTATGATGATATTTTAAAATACAGTTCTAGTTTCTTTCACATCTTAATATCATAGACAACAACATCGCGTTTTTGTGATGTACTCAGGTATATATTATTTATAGCAATATGGTATAGCTTTGTAAATTTAATTCTTTGGCCTCAATCTTCTCGCATGTTTACAGAACTGGCTTCAAAACGTTTTTGGAAATTCTTGGAAAAGACTTTGGCGATACTGACTTTTTATTTAGTTCTGTATCCTTTGAGTGGACATCAAAAAAACCTTTTTAATTTCATAATTTTCCTGTAAAAATTGTTAATAATCATTAAACCACAATTAAATAAAGACTAGAACCTTTTTTACAAATGCAAGAAAGTCTTTCACGTAGTTTGACCACTGATTTGTATAAAACTGGATAACGCAACTTAGTGCTTGACTTGAAGTCGGGCGGCGGCCATATTGGATTATCACATTCAGTTTTTATATAGGTTTTATACAACAAACTGCTACTCTCGCATTTATTTTGGATCATATTGTTTTACTCTTGGCACAAAAAAGAATTATTATGATGACAAGACTGTAATAGAACGGTTTTTGGCGAAACTCATCTTCGCTAAATTTCATATGAAAATCTTCTCACGTTGTTAAAATATCATAATAAAAGATTTGGCATGATTTCGGAAAGAGAAAAGAGCAAAAATACATATTCCAAGAAAAATTCATGATAAAATTTATACTACAAGTTGATAGTCCAATATAGCTGCTGCTGTCAAAGATTAGCTTCAAAATTTTCTAGGCCCAAGAATTAGGTCTTTATATATATCAGTGAGTTCGACGGACACCCTGTGCAGCTCTTTACAAAGTACTAGAGGCTCACAAAATATTAAACAAATTGATCACAAATTTGAACATCAGCAAAGCTTAGCCATATCTTTAATCAAACGTTATACTAATCTCTAGTTTGCTTTTTCCGCCTATGAATTTCAGCAGTTTTACATTTAAAGACTTCATAGAGTAAAGAGTATCGTAGCTCGTGCATCAGCAAATTTAGTTCTGCTATGAAAAATTCTGTTTTCTCGATCTCTGTTTATTTTGCTACAGACGAAACAACAAATTTCAAAATCAGTAATTATGATGATCTAAAATTTTTCAGTGTTTATCGTGGTCACTCGTCGTGGCGGGTCTTGGGTAGGCTGAAATAAATTATAGAAGCTCATTTTAAATTCAAAATACTTCTAACGACGCGATTGGTTAGAAGTTTCTAAAGAATATTTACGATGTGATAAGTTCTAAAGTATTTTAAAATGAAGGTATGTTTTACTAGTGCATTCTGACGTGCTAAGGGCCTGATTATTTGTTTTGTATTTCGTGTAAGAAATTCCTTAGACAAAATAGTCGGTTGTTTGTAGAGTAGAGTCGTTAGATGGCATGGAAAGTCTTTCACGAGCAACTAACTCCTCAACGTCCGCCATTTTGAAAACTGAATATGCTTGACAAACATCACAAATCAGAAACACCGAAATCTGATTGGCTAGCGAATTTTTTCGCAGCGCAAAAGTAGAAATCAATCGAACTCAAATTTTTGTCGTGGCGAACAGTTTATACGAATTTCATCGCTGTGTATATGTGACGTGTTGAACGTCTGCGCATGCCTAAATTCGAAAATTATCGCTTCGCGCGAAAAAATTCGCAAGTGGAAATCCAGCTTAAGATACGTTGAAGCTCATTCGTTGCTCAAATACTTATGTATTATTTTTGATACGGATCGTGTGAGCACACATAAAGTAAGCAAAATATGATTAAAATGGAACTTGCTGTATTTTATCCGACAAGATCAAAGGAAGCCGACTAGTCAAATTACTTAGATTTGAAAGATTTAAAAAAACAACAAAAATACGAAAAATATATCGATGAATATACTGGATGACACAAATGGCTGCTCTCAAGACTATAACTATCCAAACCAATATAAATATGAACTAAATTATCGGACTGTCTGAACTAGCAACCAAAAGTCAGAACCGAAAGAATCGGTCCGACAGATCAGATCTTGTGAACGGGCCTTAAAAGGTGTATGAAAAAACTGCTCGTTCAGAATTTGCATGATTCAGCAGTAACTAATTGTTCCTGAGGAGGCAAGTTAACGTCATTGGAAGGATTTTCATGCTCGGTAATTGCAATGTGAAGTAACTGCAGTTCGTACGTATTGTTTCAAATGTGTTTATATGTCTTTGGGGATAAATTGTACTGCATGCCGAAATATGCAAATTCTAAGCGTTTTCAAAGATATGCAGTTTTTGTGCACCCTGTGTATGCAAATATTTGCAGCAAGATGGTGGAGTAATATGTCGCTGAGTTGGTTTAGTTTAGAAGAGAAGACGCAAAAACGCAGAAATGTAAGTACGAAGTATTTGCTTGGGCCAACTAACCCTTTTAGCTAAATGTTGTTGTTGAAGTCGAGGGCGTTTGTAATTGTATTTATACGGAAGTTGTGTTCGAAGGTAACTAACCAGACACTAGTAACCGAATCTATTTGAACGTAACAGACATATATTTACTTGATGATAATTGTTTTTACTTGACTTTTTTTAAGAAGATTCGGCTTTGTGCTTTATAAAAATAATAAATAGTTAAAATACTTTAAGATAGAGAAAAGAAAAAGTGAGGGAGGCGCAAAATTTGTTTTCGCCTCGCAATCAAAATTGTGCCGCCTCGCTTCTGTAATTACCTATTCTTGACTTGCAATTCAGCCATGTTGGTGGTGTGATACAAAAGAATATTTTATCTGTGTTATTGTTGGCACCAGCAGACGTGAGGAGCAACATTGCTTGATAAATCTCAAGAGAATGGTAGCAAGTGAAGAATAGAAAAGAATGTATTTTACATAGTCTTTTAGACCTAGTTCGAACGTCGAACTTTACATGAACTAAACGCATTTAAAACAAAAGATGTTGAAAAAGTTCATCTCATTTTCTTTTGTCTTTAATGCATTCGGGGCATGTAAAGTTGGACGTTTGAAACAGGACTTAGCTTTTCAACAAACTTACTAATAAGGACTTGTTCATTTAATTTGCTTACATCTTTGGTTGAATATGAATTTTAAAAAACAGATTAGATTGTTAGTGTTAGTCTTAGCTTAGATACGTAGCTAGATATTTAGCTTAGATATTTACTCTCATTGAACAAGAAAATGACCCAACAAACACCCCACTCATTTTAAGGAGCTACACAACTTCTGGCTAGTAAGATTGCAGTATACCGTATGAATTCCATACTAGTCTATTACTAAAAATTGCTCTCCCTGTAAATGAATGATCGTTTAAAACTGGATATTGTCAATATAGTTTATTTGGACCTTTTTATGTGGCACTGTTGTTATTTGAACCTTTTTGTACGGAAATTAACATCAAAATTGTTTCTGGTCCGCTATAGTACAAAGAAGACCTGTCTAAAGGCAAGTCTAAATAAATGATCTTCGTGAAAATGGAGCCACAAATCCACGCATTTTTTTTCTGTATCTTGTACGTTTTCCTAAACACAGTACTTTTGCTGACAAATAATAGACAATTAGGTCAAAATGCTTTCTGTTCCTACTTTCATCGCTCGTTCATAAAATCTTTTGCTTTTTCGTATCCTCCCATTTCTCTGTAAACCGAGCCCAGATTGCTGTACGTTGTCGCAATATCAACATGGTCAGATCCAAATGCTTTTGTTTGAATTTTTATCGCTCATTCATAAGAATCTTTTGCTTTATCGTACTCTCCCATATCACTGTAAACCGAACCAAAATTGTTGTACGTTGTTGCTATATTAACATTGTCAGGTCCAAATGCATTCGTTTGAATTTTCATCGCTCGTTTATAAAATTTTGTTGCTTTTTCGTGTTTTCGCATTTTTCTGTGAACCAAACCCAGATTGTTGTAGGTTGTCGCAATATTAATATGGTCAGGTCCAAATGCAATTTTTTGAATTTCCATCGCTCGTTCATAAAAAATCTTTTGCTTTTTCGTACTCTCCCATATCACTGTAAACTGAACCCAGATTGTTACACCTTATCTCAATATTAATATGATCAGGTCCAAATATTTTCATTTCAATTTCTATTGCTCGCTCGAATAAATCTTTTGCTTTTTCGCACTGTCCCATTTTTACTGTAAACCGAACCGAGATTGTTGTACTTTGACGCAAGATCAACATGGTCAGGTCCAAATGTTTTCATTTCAATTTCTATCAATTGTTCCAACAAATCTTTTGCTTTTTCGTACTCTCCCATAAAATGTAAACCGAACGCAGATTGTTGTAGATTGTCTCAATATCAACAGGTTCAAGTGCTTTTGTTCCAATTTCTAACGCTCGTTCGTAACTCTTTTGCCGTATTGTGTTCTCCATTCTTCATATGCAATAAACCCAACCTATTGCACGAATTCGAAACATCGATATGATCAACACCCAATGTTCTACTTTCAATTTCTATCATTTCATTAAGCACTTTAGTTGCCATGTCATATTTGCAAAATTTATCTAACACATCTACAAAGAAATTGGAAATTTTTCAATTACTTTCATCATGTTTTTGTTTTGACGATTTTTTATCGATCAACTTATGTAGGAAGTGCTGAAACAATGAGTTGTTTATGAACTTAATTAGATGCGGAATTATCTTGATTTGATCTTCTCTGTCTTCAAAACGATATGGTGCCCAAGCGATTTGACAGGCAAGATCAGCAGAAGACATGGAATTAATTTCTTTTTTTTAAAGCAAAGTTTTGCGATGAATGATAATTAGTTATGGCTTCATGTACAACGCTGTGCAGGCGATAGTCGTTGTTTTCCGATTGAAGGAATAACGAACAATTTTTTATATGAAGACAGATCTCTTCTGCAGATTTTTGTGGATCAATTCTTTTAATAAATTGTATTATAATATCTTGTGGTAAGGGATCAAAAGCTATTGATGAAAGTACAGCATAGCTTACTGTAAAAGTTCTAATGAATTGGAAAATAACATGCTTAGTTACCATGGAACAGTAACTTTCCAATGGTGGGAAAACGTATAAATTACAGTTATATATATCGAGTTTGGAAATTCTATCATTACTGCGCAAGGTTGGATAAAGGGACCACAGTTAGAATAAATGCATTCGAGGAAGTGATATATCGGTATTTTTATTAGTAAAATAAATGTGTGTCATTGAAATAATTCGACGGTTAGATCAAGTCCGTAGATCAAAGAAATACGTTGCTAATAAAAAAGGAATTTTTACGCGGGAGCCAGCGTTTCGACCTTATTTAGTCATCATGAGGAATGATTATACATTAGAGGATTTTTTGTGTGCATATGTAATATGTAATGATAATAAACACAATAGAATTTCATCTATTAGAAATACGTAAACGTGGAGCCTATCTCCTACACAAATTTAAATCAAAATTTTCTACAATTTCAAAGCAACCGTTTAGATAATTGTTTATTGAAATACCATCATAGCTAGGCTGCTTCTAACGCGAAGGCATAAAACACCAGGGGAATTTCAAAGTTCTGTAGTTTACAAGCTTTTGTGCCCAGGGTGCACAAAAACATCAATTTAAGAAATAAAAGATGTTTACTGTGTTTGCACAGGCTTATTCAAACCTAGGAGACTTTTGGGAGAGCTCGAGAGCAGATGATTGCAAGCTTAAAACCAAAGGTTGAGTGTTGCACATTCTTGAGCAGTATCAATGCGAAACAGATAAATGTAAAACAAAACTTTTATTTTTTCCTCTAAAATGTATTCATGTTATAATATGTATAAGACACAATCAATCAATAAAAGTCTCTTTAAAATCTATAATCTACTATACAGTAACAACTTACCCTGCGAAAAATTTACCCATTAGACAAATCTTTTACAACCCAACTTGGGCGAATGATGACAAATTAAAGTCGAAACGTTCGATCATTTCACTATTGAAAATAATTGAAATGCCATGAAATTGAAAACTATGATTAAATGCAAATTAAAAGAAACACATCCGCAAGCAAAATTCAGCTTAGTAGAAAAAAGCCTTAAGAATGAGGAGCTAAATTGTCTTTATGACTAACATGTTTTAACCAATATATAAACTTGCCTAAAACAACGAACAGTTTTTAATAACGTGCTGTTTAGAACTGTCTTCAAAATGTGAGCGAAATATGGATTCGAAATCTTCACTGAAATAAGCGATAATTGTCAATATCACAATTGTATTGGCCAGCAAATGTCGTTTCCAGTACTTCTTCCACACGCGGCCAATGGGAATGTTGTAATAATATATTTGCACATAGTTAGACATACAGTTAAAAATGAGATCTATTAAAACACCAATAGCAATTCTCTTGAAGAACCCGTATGACAATGCTTCAGTGGCGATGTTGAAATTTTGAAGCTGATATGAAATGAAGTAAGTTTGACTCAAAATGAGTGTGTTGTATTCAAAAAGAGTATCTTGAATTGCCAGGTCAGCATTTAACCGTCTGGAATGGGCTGAGTTACATGGTAAAATTTGCAGTGCTCGACAACAATTGAAATTGTTTAAAGCTGAAATTATTCGTTTCCACAATTTGATTCGAGCTTGTTGCGTTGCTCGTTTAAGAAAATTCAAAACAGCAGAAAACAATGAAAGACCAATGAAAATCCAAATACTTTTAAAATTTGTCTGCATCGTTCTATAAAGGAATATCACTCCACCTCGGATCATAGAGACGAGAATAAAACTACGACCGGGATGAACGATCTCGGAACTTCGTCTCAACGCCATATGCGCACACAACACTGTAGGAATAAGCGCTGACAGTGGTGAAGAAGTAGCGATCAAGAATTTATATAAGTTTGCACGAACATTTTTAAAAACAGGAACAACTATAAACTTGTAGAAATATGAAAGTAGAGCACAAGAGATGAATTCAATAAGAACAAGTGCTGCAATGTGAAAATTGGAATAAGAAATTAAGCGTTCGCTAGCTCGAATATTGTAAATAATTACCAATGTCGAACACAATAACGATGCCCCGAAGAAAGGATATCTGTAGTAAATATACTTATCAAAAAGATCAAACTGAAATAAAATCAGATTACTTATAATAATCAACTCGCCGAATATAACACCTATGTACACGGTGGATAAAAACTTTGTTTTAAACTCTTTCCATCCGAATAAAATCATCAACGTCCATGGAAACCATAAGTATACCTCAAACGACTGTATGCAGCCACCGAACAAGTGAGCACGTTTCGCTGATAACGGTAATGTGTTGTTGTTGTGATTCTGCCATTCCATACAACTGTAGATTGTATTCATTACCACGTACACAAGTGCCATAGCAAATGAAATGGGAATCATGGTGGTTAAAATGATATTTAAATTTATCAATAAACATTTCCAAAATATCTTGCAAACATTTCCACCATTTTGGCGATTAGAGTAACTCGTTCCATACTGACTTGAACCATCATCGTTATTGTCGATGAACTCTGTGCTGATAAATTCTTGTTCTCCATCATTCTGAAATTCATTGAAATCCAAATTCGTATTTTCGGGTGAACTTTCGATGTCAGAACTCACTCTCGGTGTATCTGCAGCAAAAAGCGAACAAATCGACAGAGCAAACCCGATTATCTCCTCTAACATTTTACTAAATTGTGTTAAACCAAAGGTGAACAGAAATTATGATAAAATTTCCACTAAAGACCCCTTACTGTGATTATAATATTGTTGACTCAAATTACATGTAATATTACTTATTTATATAACCTGAAGTTGAAGTTTAGTTGAAATTCTATGAGTTACTGTTCAGGAATTAGGAATAAATTCAACCGAAATATATATGTGCGTTTTTGCTGTCAAAAATCAAAGATTTAAATCGATTTTTCCTTTTACAATTTGAACTACTTACAACTCTTTATCGAATCAAATGGATGTACGCGCACTTATGCAATCCAAATCGAACTGTCATTTTTCAATCGTCCGTTGCTTGTGCCCTCAAAACATTTACTTTCGTAGCCACCATCGCGGTGCTAAATTTTATGAACGGTATTCTGTAGTTTTCGACATGCTGAATTTTTTTGTTCCACTTATCAAAACCCGCAGTTTTTTAGAATTTTGACAATGAAGATCGTTTCCGTTTAGGTGACTTTCTACATGAAGTACGATTAAAAAAGTCAATAAAAGATGGTCCTTGCTTTGAGAAAATAGCTGGCTTTCACACGCTACTTTTTACTAATTTTATTTAACGTTTATAAAAAAATTGCAATGCTGCAAGTGGGGTTCATTGAGTTTGTGAGATAAAAATTTTATAATAAATTTCTACGACATACACGTAAAAACTGCACCGTGAAAAAAAGGAAGAGACTATGTCATCTGGAGACTATGTCACCTGGATCAGACTTACCATGGACAAAGCTTGGAAATCAGGTATTAAAGTGTTGTTCTTTTCAATATATTTAATTTCTGTTTTTGTTCATTCATTATGCTGAACTTTGTAACGTGTTTTTTAGAGTAGCTATGTTTGTAGGCCTATACTACTGGACAATGAATGAACGACTAAGTCGGACAGAAGTACCAAGAAACAAGCGTCCTTATCAAGAGATTCACACTTATGACTTTTCTTATACACAATGTTTATCAGTATAATGGATTTTCAAATTCAACCGATAAAAATTTCTGTAAAACTATTTTTTACTATTGTTAAAATTTTCTGACAAAACACACGAGTGAAAGCCAGCTATTAATAAAGGTCTTAAAGAAGCAACCTAAAAATTTTGAATCAAATGAAGTCTAGTAAACATCAAAAATGATTTTTATGCAAGTCATGACGTTACTTTGGTCATTTCGCTTTTTATTTTTATTGGCAGATGAATGGTCAGGTCATACGTACTGAATGATTTTTTCACATGATTTATACATTGCATGCAATTCGTTTTCATTTTTCGTCTATTAATTTTTTTTAACACTCTGTGATCTTTCATTTTTTGTTTTCTACCAAAGTTTACGTTTCTTTTGTTCGAATACAAAATATTTGCTGTGTCAATAGGGTAGTCAGCCCGCTTTTTTGTCACTCTGTAAATTTAAATTTTTTGTAGCATACGATTGTAACGCACGATCTAGCTACGCTACATGTTAAAGTCGATCATCGGGATCATTCGGAAAACAACAAGATATAAAACATCTTAAAACTATAAAAATTTGAGGAAATTTTTTTAAATTATTGATCTTTTCTTTTATTGGAGGATTTTTTACCGGATCTACCGGTTTTCCCTCCCATTTCGTTTTGTTATGAAAAAAAAACAGTGTCCACATTTGGGGCCATGCGAAGTCATTTTTCATAATACTATTTATTGT